GCAGAGACAGTTAACAAACAGCTTCTGGTTTATCAATGGATCTGGGCTAAATAAAATGCAAAGAACCAAAGCAGAGCAGTAGCATAGCTCAGTGATAATTACTGATGATAGTAGAATGTGTTAAGCAAAAGGTCAGGCCTCCATCATTTCAGACACATGAGAGTAGCAGAGCATACATAGAATGCATGTGAGATAACTCTAAGAGGCCTGCCTAGCATCAGCTTTAATTTCAACAATGATGCACATAGATCCTGTCTCATCAACCAAAGCCTGATTGGCCTTAGAAGGGTCTTGAGCACCTAGATAGGGTGGTATGATAGTTAGAACATTGAAGCAGCAGAGATAATCAGAGACATATATTAAACAACAGACCTAAGAGAAAGATTGAGAGAAATCCTTATTCCTCTTGGGAGTGAGATTTCAGAAGGATATGAGCTTCTCTGGAATCAAGACTCAGTTGTAGGTTGGTGGGTAGCAAATTTGGCTGTAGCACTGCTAAATGCAAGTAAGAGATGTACCTTATGTGCACTGCTCTCACAGGCTTGCACTGCTCACAATGTCCAACAACATAGATGGGACTGGTACTGCCTAATGTAATGAAAAAGTCAATGTAGCCTCAGAAGTGCATGTTCAATCCAGACTCAGACTACACTTACTGCAGCATTCACATAAACATAAATGTGAAAGAACATAAAAGGTGGCAACCTTGATGAACTTGAGAGTCAGGCCATGCAATGAATATAGGAGACTTGGCCTGAAATTTTCAATGAGGGTTCCACTGTAACTGGTGCAAAGATATTGCAACATGTTCAATGTTGTTATGCCACTGTCTGTCATCCTCGATGAGACACAACTTAAAGATTGAAATGACACAGTGATAGCCTGGCAAGCCACTTTATACATACTTGTTAGGCTTCCACTAACACTCACAAATCTCTAGCACTGCTTTCACCAGGGTCCAATTCTAGATGCTGAGTCTGAGTCTAGTTTCAATATAAAGGTATGATGAGAATGATGAGATAAGCTATAGGGATTTCATGGAGAGGGATGAAGAGTTGTGGCTGGTAGATATAGTCTGCCATTGTGGTAAGAGTAGTTGCACCAGATAGTCAGATAGTGTAGTAGGTGTATTAAACCTTAGCTCAAGACTGGAGTACATCAGTGTGTACTACTATCTTATATACTGTCTGAAGAACCCTATGCTCTACAGGCAACTATTGTCTGCTTTCCATGGCCTCTGCTCATTGTCTGAGATAACAATGACTATGCCCTTGCTTTTGTTCATTATTGTTGCTCTGCTATACCATCACTATGGTGAGTTTCTCATATGCCACAGTTTCTATTGTGTTCCAGATGTGGGATAGTGATGGTTACCACATTGTTCCTTGTCATCTTATTGTGCATCAATGAATAGGATGTAGCCATGGTGTCATCATGTCTTCATCATCTTTTATAAGGTCAGCTTGGGGTTGAGATTGGTAAGCATCTGCTTACTAAGCATTGGCAGATCATGATTTAGGGGCAAAAATCATGACAATACTCACAGAACTCACACCAGCATATAAAGCCTGATACTCAGGATAGAGGTTATACTGGTAGTTGAAATGTTTGCTATTTTCAAACTCCACAAGATGACACCATCTGCTGAGCAGCTACCAACAGTGTAATATTGCTGACACATACCTCTAACATAGTGAAGCTCACTCAATATATAGCTCAACTGAGTCTTTAGAAAGCCAGAGCAATCTTTTCAGCAATGGGCCTAATCCTATCTAAAATGCAGTTATGAATATCATAAGAAAGATGCTACCAAATCAGTTATCTACCCAGTTTGAGCTCAGCTAAAGCTGAAATCTATTGGAGATTGACTTTCACAGTGCCAGTGTGATTGGATTTGGTCAATGAGCATGTTCAACATGCAGACATGAAGTGTATCAACAAGGCAGAAGAAAAAATGTATTGACAAATGAGGCATAATTGTGGTTAAGATTTCAACCCTTTCAGTATACTTTCCACCCTGGGTTTCAGGATAACACAGCCACAAGTCCTAATGTGCATCATGTGACTACACATTGATGAGCCTTCTGGCTCTGTACACTCAGAATTCATGGATTTAAAGCACAGTTTTTCATCTCTGTCTCTTAGACAGGCTTTCCTGAAGTCTATTATTTCTATTTCAACTCAATTTCAATCAAAGAAAATAAGTTATTCTACTAATATCTTCTCATTTCCCATCTCAGCATGCTATCACCAGACACATTTGATTGTCAATGCCCTATTAAAAGCCTCTGGAATGTCATAATCTAGACTCTGCAATGCCATCACACTTGATTAAGCCATGATATCATGATTGTCACCATGCAAAGCCTAAATGACTGCCAACAAAGTACTTTATGAATAAATAAGTCAGCTGCAGTAATCTTTACTAAAGCTATTACTTCAATCCATCAGCAGAAGGCTGGCTTCATAAGGAATACAGAGAAAACCACTGCATAGCATTATAGGACAGTATTCTATTACTACTGACTTTACTGCACTCCATCTAGTGTTAGTAAGGAAAAGACTAAGAATACTTTAAGTACTTTGCTAGCAGCATGAATTGACATGATAAAGACAAATGTAGTTTATGCCTTACTTACTAAATAATAATATAAAAAGTTAATAAAGTGGTAGAACTAAAAAAAAACAATACACAAAGATCTGACTCTACATATTTACAGAAGCCAAAAAAATTCATAAGTTGCTCAGAAACACAACCACAATACACCACTAATTGATATTGCCTTACTCTTCTATTGAAGAACCCATTATATACTAGTTATTTGACTTTGTTCTTTTTACTTTACCACCTTAAGCACTGTCATATCTTTAGGTTTGATATCAGTGTCAACTGCAGGGCAGCATTCTTCTTGCAACTGGAGAAGTACCTTTCCACACTTTCTTCACTGGAGCTAATAAAATTTCACTACTAGAATCTTACTTGCCTTACTTGCCTCATCAAAGAATATAATTTTCTTTGCTTACATGTAGAGCAATCTGTTTCTTCACTTGTGCATAAACCTTCATCTTCCTTCACTCACCCATAGAGCAACCATTTTCCTCACTCATCTACAGGGCCACCTCAAATCTTCACTCTCTTATAGAGCAACAGCATAATAGTTCACCACTGGAACTAAGTCTATATTACCTCAACTAGGTTAATAGATCATTATTTTATGCTGCATTTAGGCACCCTGCAACTGCTGCCTCTCAATATCTCAAATTCCATGGTGCTTCAAGTGAATGAGGCTATGAAGAAGTTATTACTTGGTTCATTTACTTGGTGCTGAACTCATTGTTTGCTTCTGACCCACAATTTTTTGGTGCATTCACATATTTCAAATCTCAGATATAGTCATCAACAAGGACTCAAATCAAGATTTCAGTGTCAATCTTGGTATGGGCTGCAGAGAATCTGATGAAACCTAAATAACAGATAATGATAATTCTTTCTGTGCTGACCAAGAAGGTGGTTGTAGTATCAAATTTTTACCACTCAGTATTAATGTTGCTGGTTGAATCTCAAATTTTTGGCAGTCCAGGCCCTAAATGATTCTGTCATTATTGGTGAATATGATGCCAATTCTTGCATGTGTATGTGCTGCAGACCTCTATTTTGTATCCAAAAAAGGATCATCCAGCAGGTAGTAGCCACTCTTCTGGGTTTTCCCCACTTCATGTCCCATTTGTAGTAGGTTTTGCTCTGCCTGCAGTCATAAGTATCAGAGTCCATAAGTCAAAAACCAGGCTAGAGGAACAGGGAAAACATAGTGCTATACCTTTATGGAGATACAGGTTCATCAGTACCCATGTCCACTCACAGAACAAAGACAATGCTGAACCTTGTTCCTGATGGGTTCTGTCTGGCTCTCATTTTGATTATCATGCAATGAGCCATTGCTGCTTCTTTCCCTGGGTGAACATGGCTGAAAATCTCGATCCAGAACTGGTTCACAGGTTACAAAGTTTAAAGTCTTTCTTCAACTTGCATCATTGCAAGAAGACCCTGTGATGTTTTCCCCCACCTACATTCACTTCTGGATCCCTTCTATGATGGTCAGACAATTTATTTTCACTGTTATGCCTATTTCTTTTCTTACCTTTATTTTATTCCAGTGCCTCCAAGCCAAGAACTCACATATCAATCCCTGCACATTCTCTGGATACAAGGTGAAAATGACAAGGCGGGATGACATCCAGCAGCACAAAAAACTCACCTCACAGGCGAGGCTTTGGAAACACAGTCAGTAATCTTTTAGTTCCTTCCTCCTCCTTCTCTGACGAGGTTTCCGACAGAAAATATCCTTGTCTAATCACTGAGTCAAGTTGCCACTCCAACAACCTGCTCTTGGTCATCACAATGGCAGTCTACTTCCACAACTAACTTTCATTCCCTGATCAGGGTAAACACTACACTCTGGAAGGTAGCTCCAGCTTGTCCAATTGCACAATAAAGCAGGAGGAGTACAAGTGGGTAGCTCAGTAACCTCAAAGCCCACATTCAGGCCAAGCAGTGAGTCATCCAATGCTCCCTTCTCCATAATAGCTGTACTTACCACTGATCTCTCAGCCCCAAAGTCGAGCACCTTATGTGCTTCGACTGTAGACTGAGATACCATTGTTTCATGGATGCCACCAAACTCACTGAGCACAGACAAATTGAACACCTGCATAAAAAAATACAAAGCAGTAGCCACTGGCAAACCGACCTACCCAAGCCAGGCTGTGAAATCACAAGGATCAATGTTTTGGGTCCTTCACCGACACCACTCACCCCGCTCGATGACATATTCTCCCCCCACTGCCAACCAGCAGGTTCCCACTCCCTCCCCAGGCTTCAGACAGACTATTTAGCTTATGCTGTTTGCTTACTATCAATGTTTTTATTCCAGGGCTTGCTATAGTTATCTTCATTTGCTGTCTTTATGCTTCTACTGTCCTAAAATATACTCTTTATCGTGCTTTCTGACGTTCATATGTATTTTGATTCTCCTTCTTAGTTGAATGCCAGTTCTCGTCGCTACTTATGCAGATAAATACACTTGTAGATCCCGATCACGATGACTATGCTGGCGTGGAATGGCGAATCCATTACACGCAAGCATAATAAACGTGAACGAGTCTGATTTTGCCGAAAGAGAAAGGTTAACAACTGCAGTAGAATATCAGGAACTTCGTGAATAATAAAAGAGCAAACGATTTCTTTCCCTTGCGGAATCATACACAATGTCAGTCCAATACGACTAAGTCAAGGTATGCGCACATACCGAACGAACAAGGTACCAAGAGATCGCCAACCATGAAGGCACTACAAATCTGAACAGGAAGATTTTCAATCAACGGCCGGTAGATCTGCATTGAAAGTACAACATATACGCACCTAGATAGCATACTCGGCGACGGGGGATAGACAAGTCACACCACGACAGGTTATGCTAGACAAACTGGAGGCAAGATGAGCTAAAATATAGATGGCCCGTAGAGATAAATACATTGACAGGAATATGCGAAGCCTAGAAATGGACCGCTGTCGGCGTGATAAGAGAGCAAAGGAACACGTTGTACGAACCCTAGTTTATACCAAGATCCTAAGTTCGTTTATGAAGCACATTCACATACGTCAAGGACTTGATCACGACCCTTCGAGTGGCTGCAGAGATAATGTAGTCAGTGATAGACGGTAATTACCACTACAATGGATGAGATATCTCCAAGACACAATCTGTCGTTCACCGTGTATTCAGATGGAGAAGGACTCGCGTAGTCGCCCAGAGGTGCTCTTCCTCAGTGATAAGCTATCTGAACGTCGAGTAAGTAGTCTTCGGCCAGATACACTGTGAATGGCAGACATACCTTTCGGCTCAACCCACCATATCATTAGGAATATTCTTCGAATCCAAGGTAAACAGGCTATCCCGAATCTTGAGTGACAGACAAAGAAAATGGGGACGGCTCGACAAATCGACATGGGGATAAGAGGCACAGGGATTTTCAAATTCACCGATTTCCTTTTCTGCTACTACCATCATCCTTGGACCAAAATGTCGTACTCTCGATGGGATACCCTGGCGAGCGTGACATTGCGAATTATCAGCTTCCTCCTCGATAAATAACGCAGAAAATTCAATCTAAAATCCGATGGTCAAGAAGATAGTCGATGGCCAGTGTTATCGTTGAGAATTCGGGAGAGCAAACCGGCGGGCTACAGGTATTTCGCTGGGGCTCTCATTGTGCAAGCCCTTCGTTGCTCACCATGGATGACGATGGACTATCAATTCGGTAGAATCTCTCCATCCGACAATGTTATCAGCCTTGCAGCGCCCTACCAGAAGGCCTCGATAATCTAGTTAAATAAATCCTTAGGCTCACGAGTGTGTCCGTTTATGCTTTCTTATTTCTTTTCTCAAGTGTACTGGTGCGCAGCTAGTGCATTTATTCGAAATCCGAGTATATCCGACCTGCCTTCAGCATCAGCAGAGGGCGAGGAGTCGACGCGTTATCCGAAAACGACAGTAAGACTTTCCAAGTCCAACCAAGAAATGGCCCTTCCTTCACCTACCACCATCACTACGCAAACTACCCGCCTTTCATAATGGTTTCCACCCTAGAGATAAGCGTCGCCCTCCGTCGCGCCTTCACCACTCTATACCCGAAACAAGAGACGAAAGCCAGGACATCTCCTGATAGAGAGAGGGCCAGATCTCTAGCCTGACGGACAAGACCAGTAAGCAGCAGCATCGCTTTCATGCATTCAAATCCCCACCTCTTTAGCAGCTGCACAGAAAAATTGCCCTTACAAAGAGAAGAAGGGATTTATCGCTGGTATGCAAGCCGGTCTCTCTGAAAGGCGTTTTGAACCAACAGTGGTATTTAGAATCAGAAGGCCGAGCACCTTCCTTGGTGACTTCTTGTGTACAGAACCAGGAAGTTCAGACAACGCGTCGATCTCTTTTCCTTCTGCAGAGTATCTCTTTGATGTCCTGTAGTTCGCTACACTACTTCAATTGTCCGGATGGGATTGTAATTGTATAATATGTGCGTTCTCGACTTTTCTTTTCTTTTCTTTCTCTTGTCTGATGCTCGGACAGATTATTCTGTACGCATACTTGTCTATCCCTTCCTCTTTAATGCTATTATTATCAAACTCAAACATGCGCCGTTGGTTCATCGACGCTCAATTATCTATGCAGGTGGTCGGTGTGAGAGAGACAGAGATCTGACCTTTTCAGTGCGGAAAAGGCGAGCCGGCCCGATGTCCATTATCCATTTCACCGTTGAAGAATCGGCAATCTTTGCATATTGTTTGGATGACGTTGTCCTTCTCAGCTCAATGACGACAAGCCCCCAAGCATCTCAAGAACAAGTTACCAAGCTCAATGCTTGACTCAATATTCGCCACATTCAGGGATACCTTCTCTCTCACGTCGTCATATGCGTTTGTGTTGATTCGTCGGACAGATGGTAGTTCTCTGCAGCTCGAATTCAAGGCAGGTTGATGTTACTTAGTGGCACGGAAGCAACTCAGGTTCGTGGAATCACTTTTCTCATTTCTGGCGCTGATATTTTTTCAGGTTAATCCCGTGAAACTGGACAGATAGAAACGTTGTTATAGAAGCCGAATCTCTTCGTGAGTAATGCGGTCCGATCTGAAAGATAATCACTTACATGCTCGATGATGCGCTAGGACTATCATTGTCGAATCGACGAGAATTTCATCAACATACCAACCCGCCTTTGAGCTTGATCCTTGAAGTTCACCTCGACTAGGCCATCGGGGAAGCAACATTTCACAGATATTTTCCTTTCCTCCCGTTGAGAATTCTACACTATCATGCACCGGCGCCTGCATAGCTTGGCAACACAAATTTTGGGGCGTTTTGGCGCTACAATGTACGCGTATATCCCAGAATCAAATTTTGTCGTCTTAGGACCACTGGACGTCGCGGTTACTGGATATATGCATAATTGGGGAGGCACTAAAATCTCAATGCAACTTCGCTAAAACTCTGGAAAACGTGAAATATCCACTGTACGAGCATAAAGGTTGTTTCCATCTACGTATGTACTCTGTTCTTTTTGTCTTCTTCCTCCTAATGATGGCATTTTAGTCTTTACGTTTGCTAAATGCTAAGACTATCTGTTCTCTTGGCGATAACATTCCTCAACTTTGCTCTCAGGGTCGTTATACATCAGAGCCGCTTTATTGTATGCGATGCACAGAGGTCGAAGTGGCTGGCGCTTTCAAGTGCGTGTTGAAACTTGATGACGATCAGTCACTCGTAGTGCTACCGGATGCCCTACTTGACGATTGTACTATATTCTTCCGATTCTTAAGGTAATTTGGGCCGTCTCGTCATGCAATACTTTTATCTAATCCATTTGGGTAGCATGCTCACAGAAATCAGAACGCGTTCAACTCTTGACGCACATGGCCCGACCATCGTGGACCCGGTATTCATTAAGACGGTCTCTAAATAGCATTTCTCCGAAGTTCTCCTCAGCTGTATAGATTCTTGCCTTCCTTGGTATCTGCGGAACTTCAGTAATGATGCCGAGATTTAAGCACCTTCTCAGTACCTTCTCAGATGCTCACGCGACTTCTTCAGTGAAGGCACTCGCGATTCCGATTATCGCCGTATCTCATGACACCACGGGAATGATCGTGATTCTTCCTTTAACAAGCCATGACCTTGCCTAAGGTGCAGCTACCATGGCGCCCCGGTCCATCTCGCTGATCCTTCTGCTCACTGCTTTCCGACATGTTTGCTGTCGCGTCCCCAAACCACCAGGAATCCCGATGGTGGATATCGAATCGGGATTTTCTCATCATGCTCTGCAAGCAAGGGCAATGCCTCCTTACAACACGACCTATTACTTTGATCAGCTTATCGACCACAATGATTCATCGAAAGGCACGTTTCAGCAACGTTACTGGCATACGGCGGAGTATTACCAAGAGGGTCCGATCCCTTTTCTTCATCTGCGTTCGCTATTTACCAATTTTCTAGGCGGCCCCATTATTTTCATGAATGCGGGAGAGGTCAACGCAGCTCGTACGCGTATTTCTCTTGATATGCTATAGTGCGCTTATTCTCTTCGTAGCTTATTACGGCTATGTGACAAATAGTACGATCAATGGTGTCATCGCACAGAAATACGGCGGCGCTGCAATCGTTCTCGAGCATCGCTTCTTTGGCTTGAGTAATCCTTACCCGAACCTCGACGTCTCCAGCTTTCAATATCACACGATAGCTCAAGCTATCGAGGACAACGTCTATTTCGCCAAGAATGTTGTTCTTCCGCAGGACAATGGAGATAGCGTCGGCCCGGATAAGGCACCATGGATCATGATTGGGGGAAGCTACCCAGGTGGGCATGAGAATGAATCCCTCGCTTTAGTTCATCCGGCTGATGGACTTTGTAGGCGCCTTGGTCAGCTGGACTATGGCCGCGTACGTCCCATTTTCCCATACGAGCATCGTAACTGACTTCACCTTCAATACAGACATCCAGACGTATTCTGGATAGGATATTCTTCATCCGGTGTTGTTCAAGTTCAGATGTGTGTCTTAACGTCTTTCTTCGGCTGACTGCTAATCCACGCATCATCAGCGACTTCTGGCAATACTACGAGCCCATCAGGGAGAACATGCCCAAGAACTGCTCCGCCGATGTCGAAGCCGTCATCACCTACGTCGACAAGGTTTTCTTCGGATCTAACACTACCGCACAACAAGAGCTTCAGGCACTGTTCGGCTTCTCGACTGATTTGGAGGTCGCCCAGGCTCGTAAGTTTCATCAATTTGCGTATTTTCGTCTCTTTACGTGATGCCGTCGTAGTGAGGTGGGATCTGTGGACATGGCAGGATATGCAGCCTAATACTGGCGCCGGTGCCACCTTCTATCAATTTTGCGATGCATTGGAAGTCAAGGGTAACGTCACCGCTTCTGAGACTGGCTGGGGGCTGGAAAACGCGCTCGGCGCGTGGGGTTTGCATTTCACTGCGTCGAGTTCGTCTGTGAAGCTTGGTCTGTCCTATCAACGGTACTGCCTCCACCCGACCTTACTTATATAATTTATTTTTTCAGATTGCGAAGAAGAAAGGTAAATCTCGTCGATTTGAATTGGATCTGTTTGACGTCTCGTAGCGATTGCAGCGGCAGCAGTATGGTCGCTGTTCACTCTCCTCCCTCTCCCGCAGGCATTCCTCTCAACCGGGAGATCCCGCATTCTCGAGAGTTGAACGCTAGGGATGACTATCCTGTTGATGACGCAGACCGTTCCTGGTTCTGGTTGATGTAAGTCTGGGGTCCTTGTTGCACAAATCATCCCTCTGTTGACGGAATTGTAGATGCAATGAGATCGGATTCTCATTGGTAAGTCCCAACCTACCATATTCAACTTGGCTTGCGAACATCGATCTTTTAGGATGGACCGCCCGTCGGACAAGGGGGGATAGTTTCTCGCTTAAACGTTTGGGAGGATAATATGGTCAGTTTCCGAGCCGCACATTCTTCCATCAACTGATGTCCTCATAGCGTGATTGCGTGACCTCATTTCCCGAAGCATTCTCAGAGTATCCTACTCCAAATGTGAATCGGACGAACATCCTGTATGGTGGGTGGAGTGTGAACAATACCCGACTATTCTTCGCGAATGGTAAACGTAAGCTTATAGCCCTGTTCTGGTTTTATCTCTATTTTTTAATTAAGCCTGATGTAGGGGATACATGGCGGGAAGCTACAGTATCGGCGGTTAATACTACTGCCGTCAGCACAGACATCCAGCCCATCAGGTTGTCGAATGGCTTTCACGCATCAGATTTGGTGATGCGGCTGGCGGCGCCTGATCCCACGATTGTCGCGGTGCAGGACGCATTTATCACGTACGTAGAATCGTGGTTGAAAGATTTTGTGCCGTCGTAGGCTGTTAAGGGAGAGGAATATAGTATAAGATCATGTTTGATACCCTTTCTGAAATTGGTGTGCCTTGTAATCCGCAGCGTTCTGTCTATAATATTTCTTCACCTGAATGTATTTCCTTCTGTCCAGTTTGTTTATTGGAGGATCGCTTTGGGTACCAAACTATCTCTGAAGAGGTAAAGCATGAGCTGAACCGGAATTTGCGGAAGAATCAGCGCCAAGAAAGAGACCAGAGTGTAACCGAAACTCTAGAGCTGTAGCTCAGCTGCCGGCTGTCGTCGTGAAAGGGAAAAGATTTTCATTTCTGCTGTTGCCCTGAAAATGCTATATATCACAGGTCAATTCTACCACACCACGGATAGAGTCCTTAAAGGTCCTACTCATCCATCTCAAACTGAACAACCCTAACCGGCGAAGGCGTAGTCCCAGAGCTCGACTCCTGATAGAGCACCGCCAACGTCCCCCTCCCACTACTCACCAACGCCCCTCTATCAATCGTCACCTCCCCAAACGCATCCAAGCCCAGTGCCGACCCATTATACACCATCGCCCAATCCGTCCAGCCACTAGCCTTGCTCGCCGCGACAACACGCACATACGGCAGCACCACGTACACGTTGTCTGAGGCGTCAATGGCGATCTGCGACCGCCCGACGGCATCGAGGGCGAAGGGCATCTCAGTTTTGACGAACGTGCCGTTAGCGGCTTGGTAGATATGGAAAGGGCGCCCATAAGCTATACGGTCGGATTCGTAGTTTGTGACACATTGCGTGAAGCGGCCTGTGGTCTGTGTCACAGCTATGCAGTTAGAGAGCGAGCAAAGAACATACCTGGGACATACGATATTATGACATGCATGAGCCCTTGAGAATCAACGTCCTGCGATTCTTGGTTCATCAGACCGTGGTTTGCGTCCAATGAGTCGATAATGATCCCGCTGGAGCTGACGGACATCGGTGAACTGCCGGATGCACCAATATATGTGCCCGCTGCGTTATACCACGTTCTGCCTAGAACACACCATCAGAATAATCACCGGACAAAAGCGGAAAAGAGGGGAGAAACTTACCTTTATCATCAGAATAGAAAAACGTTGTATCGTGGTTCGTCAATCCCCCGGCGCTACACGAGACAGCCGCATTGTTCTCCCTCCAGGTCCCGGCAATGTAGAGGCGACTCCCTCTATATGTCACCCCATGGATATACAGATTCCTCGCAGTGCTTATCGCCCCGTCGTCCGCCGTATACGTCCCCAAACCACTCGCCCACAGCCCAACGTTCGTCCACGTTCCATTCTGATACTCCGCCAACTGCGTGTTCCCATTTCCCGAAACCCCAGATCGATACACAAACTGCAGAAGGTTATCCGGGGTGATGACAAATTGCGGGTACGTGACCGTGCTGCCCACGTTGAGACTCCCTATTGTGTTCGTGATGGTCCCAAACAGACTCGCTGTCCAGCTCACACTCGAGCCACCGACGCCCGACGAAGACTGAGTGTAGTACACTGGACTGCTGTGGCAATCCATGGCGACGTGGATCACACCGTCTTCAGGGGAGATGCCGAGTGCAATAACGTTGTGGCTATCACTTGTGCTGAGAGTATGCGGGAGCGCGAGGGTCTCCCAGCTCCCCCCGGAGGTGGTTCGTCGGCCCAGTATGACAGATGAGTTAGAGGTGTACCAGCCAGCGTATTGGTATCTCTCGTACGTGAGCAGCCCGGAAAGCTGGAATGAGTTGACATTAACTAAACCGTCGTATGAGACAAAGTAGATTCCGGACGAATCGAGGAGTGTGTTTGAGAGGAGGGAGATTCCGGGTGTCGCGTATGAGGTGGCAAAAATGAGACAAAAAAGTAGGAGGAAAGGAAGCATTGTGGCTTGCTGACGTTTTCATACGCAAAGAATTTATACGCAGCGAATAGAATGCCTTGTGATCACGGAAAAATGAAACTAATGCAAGAATCCCGGGCATCACGACCCATGAGCGCAGATGAACATCTGACGGTCCGAGCTTTAGAAGTATCGGTTCCGTGCGACCGTACTAAAATTATCACCGATGCGAATGCGAATTGACGCTGAAGAACATTCAGTACTCTATAACACGAGGATTGGTTAAGTTCATGTCGCAAAGGAAAATGTTACGAACACGAAGTTATAACTTAGTGTATGGCTGGGTCAGAATCTGGTATTTGGAGCAGATTCGACAACGATGACGAGATGATTGTGCTTTTTCGACGCTTTGAGAGCATTCTGCGGTCAAGATTCACTAAGCATAAGATCAGTTTTGGGGGATAGCAGATGCCGAAGGCGCCGTACCCAAACAGGCGGTGGATATATGCGCCGAAAAAGCAAGAAAATCTTCTTCGATTGAAGAATACGTAGCCTGACCATGACGACTATGTATGTGATGAAACGAGAGGCAGAATACGTGGTGATCAGTTATCACAGGGAAGTAGGAGGGAAAGCATTATGGGTTTGCTGAATTTGTTGCATGAGCACCGAGGATCATGAGGGTGCGGATAAACGGACCGAGTGTTGGAGGTAGCGGCTCCGAGCGGCTACCATCTGATGCACTGAAATTATCACCGATGCCATTACGAATTGACACCGGAGAACTAGTGGTCGTCCGGTAAACTATGACACGTCCATGTCGTAGAGGAAAATATTACGAACACGAAGCTATATCTCAGCATATGGCCAGGTAGGTCCAGAATCTGACATTGGGTGGCGAGACCACGATGACAGATCTGTTCTTTATTTCGACGCTGGAAGAGGATACTACGGTCGAGAATCGCCCAGTACAAACATTTTCTGGAAAGAGAAATCAGTCTCGGAGTATGGAAAATACTGCGAAGCGAACCACAACGCGCATTGGATATATGCGCCAAAAACTCATGAAAATATCTTGTTCGATTGAAGGGTACCCCCGCAGAGTGTCCAGGCAGTAGAATGAGAGTAAAATAAATGGCACAAGAAAGCTGTGAAGGTCCCAATGACTAAAAATGAGTCAGATGAAGTTGCAAGAAGCAAGCCGCACTGTAAGAGATGATATAAGGCTCGAAAGCGCAGGCTGAAGAGCATTGTTCCGCGTATGTACAGCAGAGGAGTTGTGAACGAGGGATCAGTCAGGAGGCGAGCGAAGAACGTTTTTGCGATGACCATGTACTTTATATTCCTTGCTCGACACCTCTCTTGCAATTACACTCTTACGCTGGACTCCAACCAGTATCGACACAAGTTAATAGCAACCAATCAACCACGGCAGGCGAGCAGCGGCTCGAATCTACTTGTAGGTCGTCCATTATGCCTTTGCCACCAACGGCGACCCTCTGCTGTTCGAATATAAGTCCACGTAAAGCTACCGGCATCGTACGTATTATGTCTTAGTATCGACAGTCACTTGATGGAGCATCTGAACGAATGTCGAAGATTTTCCTAGTCCTCATCCTTGGCAGCCTGGATGAGGTTCTTTGTCAGGCACTGAGGCTGAGTCCTCGCAGCGAATACACACCTTGGGTACAGATTTTTAAGGCATCAGAATTGATGGAACAGTCGCGCGATTCGTTGAGCTGGCCGCGACGATATTCCGTAGCACAAATCGTGGTCGTGGTAAGATAGCGACACCGAGATTCCGCACTCTTATGTAATGTCACAGTAACGTCACAGTAAAGCACAAAATCGGACATGGCTGTATTCATAAATGATGAATGGAATATCTATCATGGTTTTTATTGAGATTTGGTTTTCACAGCATTAATGTCTCATTCTATTTACATTTATTTACCGATTACCTTACCTTTTGACACTTTGTACCTACTCTTGCTTGACTCAGAATGACCACTGTTCCTGCATCATATGATGTAATATACTCTCCCTTTGAGCTCAACACAGCCTCCTTCCAATCTATCAGTACCTAAAATCCACCAGTTTTGCCAGCTTTAAAGAGAATATATGCTTCACTATAAAACAGTCAGAATATAGGAAAGATGACCTGCAATGGAACAAATTACTCATTGTCATCTATCAGATGCTCCTATTCTGATATCAAAAAATCAGAGACCATTAATGACTCTCCTTCACTCTTGCATTCTGGTTTTGGAGCTGTGGATACATGCTGGTAGAAATTCTTTCTTTGATCTCAAATGTAAAATGTTGATTCATCAATTGAGGATCTTGAGACACTGCAAATCCATTTGGTGTGCTGATCACATTGCCATCTTAGGTCATAACAACTCTTTCTGCCATCATATATGTCTTATCTTACCTTTAGCTTTATGTTTTTCTATTCTTCTGTTTGTTCTCCTTACTGCAAGTCTTCATTGTACCTGAGCTTTTACTAAGCGTGACCAATACATCCGTTATCCGCCTATCTTAAAAAGGTCAACTCGCTTGTTTGTCAGTGCTTGGCAAAACGTCGCCAACGACTTGGACGGCCCGGATTTTCCTATGAAACCAAATCATTGGACCCAATACCAATACCAATACCGAATGTCCCAGAGAAATTCTAACAACCTGCCTCCCTCACATCTCCTCATTTTTACCACGTATTGCGAAGGAACGCCGACTTTGTACCGTGATACTGTCTTATCATGAATCTTCAGATTCATGTTCCAAGTAGGTCATTTCTTAATTCCGAGATACCAATGTATTGAATTCCATGCTGCTAGACCCATCAGCTGAGAAGTCAAACCCGTTTCTGGGCCTGGTACAGATGATCCTTTTCTCCACTGTGTAGTGGCCCCTACAATTTCTTGCGTCCTGGGTAATCCTGTACGACGAAATATCTCATCTGATTGGCAGAAGTAAGAAGCGGAGATTTACTCTCATTAGAAGGCGATGACCAGTACTCGCTTATTCCATCCTTGATACAAGTAGTGAAACCGTTCCCAATGCATGGACTAAGTCTGACAAGCTGTTTCCTCAACAGCTCCTCCACTCACATCTCCGCAGAAAGTACCTTACCGCAGCTATTCCTTCTTTCTCCTTTCAGTAGGTCTCATCTCAATTCTCGACCTCCAAGTTCATGGCACCGCGAATTACTTGGTACTGTTATTTATCTCTATGGACGCATGAACCGGTCACTGATCAGGAACATGGTCTTGTGGTTCCTTTGATTCAATGCTCGACTGGAGGTATATGCGCCTATCACGGTTTTATGTATGTGTGCATTTGTCAGATTCCTATCAATCATTGATTCAGTGCACCTGTTGACAGCCATCCGATAGGATTTTTTTTTTTGACCTGTAGAGTAGCATTCATCAAGGGACAGGCAACGGACTCTATACGGCTCATGTACCCTGGGACTGGGAATTCTCGTTCATCCCGCGACTATGAAACATCAGGCCTAGCTCTCCAATTGAATGACCTTCAAATCCAGCTGCACCCCGCATTGGCAGGCTCTCAAATACTTTGGGTAGGAGAACAATCTATTCCTTATCTCGCACTCTAACTTTTTTAGTAGGAGACTACATTCTCACAGGTGATGCACTGCCACACGCTGTTGGAATGATCCGTTGAGGCTGAGATAACGAAAGCCCGCGAGCACAAGCTTGTCGGATTTAAACGCAAACGGGCATCATTTTTACCTCCATTCCTCACTCCCTTCTTCTTCCTCACTATGTCTACCATTTCTCAAGAGGCCAAGGCCTCTCACTACGGCACCGAGAAAGATGTTGAAGTCGTCGCATACAACACAACAAGTGACCACGATATCATCGACTTTGAGGAGAAGAAGGATCTCAAGTACGTTTTACCCGCCTCCACAGCCCTATGCTAATGCCCTTTCTGCAGGCGCGGTCTCAGACAGAGACATATCCAGTACGCTCCTTGACCGCTATTAAAATATAATCCTTATCTCTCCTAGGATGATTGCCCTTGCTGGGACAATAGGAACAGGCCTGTTCCTCGGCTCCGGTAAAGCCATCGCTCGTGGTGGTCCAGTGGGTGCATTACTAGGTACGCAGCGGCCATCTCTCTTCCATGTCACTGACCAACACACCCCTAGGCTACGCCTTCGTCGGTGTCCTCGTATCATGTGTCGTATTCTGCCAAGCCGAACTCGCCGCCCTCGTTCCACTATCTGGCGCCATCGTCCGCCACGCCGAGTACTTTTTTGACCCAGCGTTGTCCTTCGCGATGGGCTGGAATTACGTGTACTCGAACTGCGTCAGTCTTCCTGCAGAGATTACCGCTGGCGCCGTCCTCATACAGTTCTGGACAACGATCAGTAACGGGCTGTGGATCACGCTACTTGGCATACTGCTCATCATCTCAAACCTGCTCTTTGTTCGTGTGTACGGCGAACTAGAGTTTGGCTTTGCGATTCTCAAAATTATGCTGGTGGTGGGTTTGATTATCATGGTATGTAATGCTCAGCTAATGGAATGAATTGTGGATGCTGATTTCGTCGTCTCCAGGGTCTTGTCATCGACTTAGGTATCTTTATCCCTAACTTACGTCTTCAGTTTCCTTACCCGTCTCTCCAGGTGGCGGCCCTGACCATCACAGATATGGTTTCCAATATTGGCGAAATCCGGTACGTCCCTCCTTGCCCACTAAGAAACTCACACCAGCTCATTGACTCGCAGGGTCCGTTCGTTCAATACCTCAATATCGATGGCTCCCTCGGCCGCTTTCTCGGCTTCTGGACCACCTTCTCCAACGCCGCCTACTCTTACTCCGGCATCGAAACCGTCGCCAACGCAGCCGCCGAGACACAAAACCCGCGCCGCAACATCCCTATCGCCGCAAAACGCGTCTTCTGGCGTGTCCTCATCTTCTACGTCTTCGGGATCCTCATCGTCGGCCTCATCGTTCCCTCAAACGACCCGAACCTCCTCGGAGGTTCGGGAGATGCATCCCAATCCCCATTCGTCATCGCTGCGAAGAGAGCGGGGATTTCTGTCGTTCCGCATATCATAAATGCCATCGTTCTGACGTCGGCATGGTCTGCGGGGAATTCAGTCATGCTTAATGGTTCGCGGAATTTGTATGGTATCGCACGGGAGGGGCATGCACCAAAGATCTTCCTGCGTGTCAATAGGTTTGGTGTGCCGTATGTGGCTGTGAGCTTCTTAGCGGCGTTCATGGCTCTGGCGTACATGACGCTGCAGGATGGTGCCTCTACTGTTTTTGGTTGGTTCCAGGTATGTGCCGTACGGGTTTTGCTTCCTCGTGCTTTGAGGCTCATCCTGGTTGAATAAGGATCTCGTGTCCGCTGCTGCTATCGTGCACTGTAAGTTGGATGAATGACCTTCTAGATTTCGATATATCTGACAGTACCGTATTTCAGGGATCATCATTTGCGTTGTGTATCTTCGCTTCTACTACGGTATGAAGAGACAAGGTATCTCTCGAGACGAACTCCCATGGACGTCTCCTTTCCAGCCGTACGCCGCCTGGCTCGGTTTCTCCGCGTTCTGCCTCATCCTTCTCACCGGAGGTTATGCCGTCTTCATTCACGACAAATGGGACACGGAGACATTTTTTTCATCCTACTTCAACATCCCTCTCATCTTCGCACTCTACTTTGGCCACAAGTTTATTACCAAGTCAAAGTTGGTACCGTTAGACGAGATGCCGATTCGCAAATACATTGAGATTGCGAATCAAAATCCTGAGCCTCCTGCAAAGCCTGTAGAGGGCTTGAAGAGGCTAAATCTGTTATGGAGCTGATCATGCCTGCTTTCGGGTTTGCGTAAGAAAAACACATAGTCTATATTTGGATATTACATGCGACGTGATTTTTATGATAATTCCATTATAGCAATGACACATCTCTCAGTATCGACTTAGCAGGTTCTGTATCGGCACCTCGGTCTCTTTGTATGCGGCCGAGTACTCAGCGCCAGCCTGTTCAGCCATGAGAACTCGTGAGCATTATCTGCGCGCATCTCGCGTATATTCAGCCAGTCAATATTGATTTCTGTCAGTACTAGCAATTTTTCGGATCACTCACTACTGTAGAATGGAAGCACAGAACAGTCATTGTTATTACAAGCATTAGAAACATGAAAGGAATACTTAACAGATTAAACAGTGGCAGTGGCCTGAAAATAGTACATGCACTGAGGTCACTCCTCGAATAATGTCACCTTTGCATGGTTGTCACTACTAGTTGAAATACCCTTCAACATGACTTCACTTAAAAGTGAAGGGGAGCCGCTGAGATAGTCTGAGCCTTCTTTGCTAATGAAACATAGATCAAAATGAACTTCCAGATCCTGGGCCCTATCCTGGCCATTCCTTTACTTGGGCAAGATTAACCCAAAGGAGAAGAGGAAAATTTGAGCCCCCAAAGACCAGAACAAGGATTTTGCTTCCGCAGCACAAAGCCAGAGACAGCCACCCGACTTGAATTTGAGCTGCAGAGAGAGAAGGCATCCATGAGTGTACCAAATATTGAGTCGAGTATTGAGCTCCTCGTCGAAAGGAAGAAAGAGGTGCGAGATCACGTGCTGCCGCCAAACGACCCTGCGCTCATGTCCATTATCGGCCTCTGCACTTTCTCAATGCTACGCGTCGTACATTTTGTCTTTCCGGAAGAAAAACAGCGTGAACAAAATTTCAACTTGCTCATCCCTCTGACATCTTATAGCTTAGCACACACAGGTCCGAGTCGCCCACATCTCGAAAATTCTGTTTTCTTCTCGAACCCCTTCGGTAATGGAAAGACTCATGGAAATGGATTCATGTAGGGATAATACTAATACTTGCCTTGACACAGTATATTTGCCCATGAAAGGATGTCGACTAAATATCCGGGCCCCGTCTGCTCAGAAATATCCGGCGGGTCTGATATTGGCTTTGACCATTCATTGAATAAGGAGGACTTATGTTCCAGATTGTCTTTGGCCTTTTATTGTGGCGTATATCCTGACCCTGGAGACTCGGACGCGGGAGGTATCGATCCGGTCATAACATCTGTCATAAAACATGCAACATTAAACACTCTTTGGCCCAATTATCCCCAGTGAACGGCGTATCGCCATTGTCTGCAGTTGACTTGACTGTCATATTGCAGATCCCGATGATGAATTTGAAGTGTCGCATCTTCTTTTGTCTCCTAGATCTGGTTGTCTTTGACGAAAGGCCCTAGTTCTGAAGGCTGTGACCACTCTGCCTGTTCGCTCCACCTACCTTCCAAGCACATCCTGGCCAAGAAAAGGATGCCCCAAACTGAGGGCTCACTGACATCCTCCGCTTCATAAGGACCCTTTTCCCTTTTACGTACTAAAACGTCTCTGTACTCTTTCCATCACCGAATCCATAGTCATTTTCCTGGGAGATAAACAGCCAGGCTTTTCGTTGTCTTGGAACTAGTCTATCTTTTGACTTGGACAACAATGCCCTTGTCCGCACTTCAACAAGGCCCAAGCCTAACAATGGCCCCGAATCTGACTGGTTCCAAATTGAGATACCGTCGAATATTTAAGCATCTCGTTAGGAGAGCAAGGTCATTCTTCATTTTGTCTGCCTAGTCTCAACCTTCCACTCCAATTATACCTTGTGTTACTCATATCATTATCATGGCTGTAAGTGGCCGTCATTCTCAGAGGGCTTCATTTGATGACTTACACCCTTTTCACAGACCATCGCTTCCTCCAGCCGCCCATACACCTGCGACAAATGCACAAGGGCATTCTCCAAGAAGGGCCACTTGAAAAGCCATAAGCAGCTCCATTGGACGAAAGAAGAACGAGAAGCGGTGTATGTCTTATTTCTATCTTCACTAATGCGGAAAATTAATTTCTCTGCTACAGAATGTACAGATGCCCTAAATGTCCGCGAATGATGCTACGGGGATCCGACTTGAGAATCCATATTAACCGTAGACAGTCTGTCCTTTATTTAGCCTCTGCTAGTCACTCAGCCTGTTTATCGCTATTTTCTCAGCAACAAAAACAGAGTCTGCATCGAGGTCGACTGCACTTTCGCGACGACGGACCCGGTGGAAATGAGTTGGCACAAAATCGAGCACTGTTATGCACCAGATCCCTGCACCGAACGCACACCATCCAGTAACGACCTTCCCAGTGGTAGTGGCACCGTGTTACCGCCACCTATGCTTCCCGCTACTCCCCAGCATCAACTATCCCCGGTCCCTTCGACAAGCGCTACTGCTGATGGCCCTACGTTCGGTTCTTCGAGCTTTTCATCCACTCCCAGTCGTTTGGTTCCAGGTGCGTCTTCCGATCTCCCGACGCCTTCGTGTAATCCTACTTCGTGCCCTTCAACGTCTCTACTCGGACTCCCAGCAGAGCTGTTTATCGTGGGTCCCAGCAAGTATCGGCTGCCTCCACTCATCCATACCTATTAATTAACTCGACGAGGTCCATCTCCATACCGCGCTGTTTTTGGTATAAGCCAACGGACAGAGGTTCTGACTCTGGAGGAAGGGACATCTCAGAGAAGAATCAGCAGTACGCTAAAGCTCGCTCCAACAACGGACATTTTTCATTATCTTGCTTTTTCCTTATTTGATGTTAATCGTATTACCCATGTATGTTTTATTATCGGTCATGGCCCTTGCTATCCAAGTGCTATCCCAATTTCCCAAATTTTCCTCTATTGCCTCCACATTACTGTGTCAATTCTTAACCTTAGTTATCATACTGTTGTTGTTATGCAAATAAAGTGTCTTCAAAAGCGCAAAATCGTTGGCGCAGACCAATAATTACTACGAGGTATGTGAGAGGTCGGCATCTGATGCCGCTTATTGCCGGATCAAGCGGCAAGCAAGAAGAAAGCTGATCTCTGAATTCAGTGTTTTGTCCCTGGGCGCCTTTCGCTCTGTGGCAACCTTCCCTTGTGATCTTTATCGCTCACCTGAAATGCTGCTCTCAGTGCCCAACGAAATCCTGAACAGGATTGCCTTTGAAGTAACAACTACCTTATACTGCCGGAAAGAAACTAATCAGCGGGCAGGCAGATAGTCGAACTCGTCGGCGCCTTCGACGTACATGCCAGCTACTCCGTGATGTCGCCACGCCTCTCGTCTTTGAGTCCGTCAACATTAATCTATCTTGGAGGCGACACTCTAGCTCAGCTCCCACCTTCCTTAAATCACTCAATTCCGGTCCTAAATTGGCCCAACACATCATTCATCTTTCTCTCTGTCTCCCCCAAAGCTTCCGGCCTTATCCCTCTCGTTTCGCTAGCGAAGCTAGAAAGAAGACGAGAGACGAGAGACTGGATTCTTTCGATGCCCTCTTCCTTGGAGCTATTTCATCTATGGTTTCGTTGAAATCGTTATTGTGAGTTTTGTAGGAATTTGAGGAATGTAATTGATATTGATGACGCGTTTGGCCACAGTTGGATGAGTGACGGGGAGTCGGGACCGCACTATGCTAAGCTGATGTTTGAACTGTTCGGAAATCTACCCCTCCTGTCCAAGCTGAAGATACACGGTTACGGCAACTGGGACGTACCCTTGTCTCCATTTCGTCACATTCGACATATCAGCTTTCTGGGCCAAAGAAGCAACGAACTCATTACTTTCCTGGGCTACAATCCAGACATAGAAATTATAGATGCTTTCGTCTGGAGCCGGAGCATCGACGACGACCAAAGTGGATCAATTTCATGGTTGTTTAGCTGTTTGCCTACGGGAACGTACAGTACGGTGAAGACACTGAGGATAGGCGGTGAAATGCTCCGCCAGTTATACGCATACGAAATCCCAAAATTCATACCTCATTTGCGTCACCTGGAGAGCTTGACCACGCTTATTAACGTACCCGATGTATTGTGGGACGGATTGCAGGAGCATGGAATATGCTTGGTGTCTCTCTCATATCACGAGCCCACTTTGGCGTTATTGTCGTATCTCTCGTCCTATACAGGGCTTCGTGAACTCTCACTTAACATGTCGTCAGACCCGACCAATGGCACTCTCCATATTGCATCCCTTCTTCCTGCCGTCATCACCTTGAATTCTTCGTCGTTGACGACAGTTCGCATTGTGCCCTGCCATAGCGGAGCATGGTGCTTGGACCATCCTATGCTAGATGCTTTGGCCCTTTGCCGTGGTCTGAAGTCATTACATGTCTGCGCTGACAAAGCGAGAACACGAGTAGAAGAAAACAATGTGATTGTGAGTCCCTCACTTCGTCCCAGAAATGATCGGTCCGACGGCTAATTGTGTTTGCAGGATAGATTATTACAAGCTTTCCTAGCATTGTGGCCGAATCTCTGGGATCTTCAAATAGATGCAGTGTCTCGTTCCTATGGATTTGAAGCAGTGAGAACGACCGCAAGTCAAATCCATAGGCGCATTTTAGCCTTGCGGTTCGCGCCTCTATCACCTGAAAGGCCTAAGGTGCACGTATCATCAGATTTTGCCGCATATTCGGTGATAATCCACGATCAGAAAAACAATATTCACTCGTTCAAAGTGCAGTATTTGAGGCATTATGGGGAGAAGGAATCATGGAGGAAATACAAATTCTGGAGGCGATCCGATAATACCAATGATGATTGATTTATAATTCCTACAGTACTTGTATCTTTTCTTTCTTGTGATCAGAATAACTAGTTGTTGGATTAACAAGCAGGAGCTCCGTCGTATTCCGCCGGCAGGGATCGATACCTCTTTATGTCGGGATGGATTATATGTACGGAATGCAAACTGTCTAGCACCCTCACCGCATTTCCGCTTATCGCTACGTGGCTGTGTGAGGGTGAGTATCTACCTATATTACTTCGTTTACCTTACTGATTGACACCTATAGTCTACAACATAGCAAACTGCGTATACTATTAGATACTGTGAATTATACACCGCGTTTCCGCTTATCGTTATGCTGTGTGAGGTCTACAAAATAGCTGACTGCATATACTATTAGGTCCTAAGAACAAACACGTGTCACTTTCTTATAGTAGTTGCCTTGCACAGATTGATCGTACAAAGCTACCATCGGAATGTAGGTTTCTCTGTTCAAGGATCATTTACCGAATCCCCATACGAGCTTTGGTCAAGGCCAAAAGTTTGCCTGGGAACGTTTCCGGGCCGGCTGTGTTTATTTAAAGACAGGCTCGTGTGTTCCGTGATTGAGACCCGGACCGCAACAACTATTGCCGGTTATTGGTGCTTGTACCCTCTCTCTTGGACCTCGCGAAATCGTTCCACCGATTACTTACAGACAGAAGGATGCGAAATGAAGACGAATGTTGCCCTCTGATGATGGTACCAATTCCCGAAGGCTAAGCATTATTTCTGGTAAGCGAAACACAATTGGTGAGCAAGACAAAGAATTGATCGTCTTGTATTTTCTGGATCTTTGTTGCTAGGGAAATCACAAAAACCGAAAAAAGGAAGTAAATTTTACGAGGCCTGCGGCTAGCATCGTAGTGATTGCCGGCAATTCTCCGATACTTATTCGTCCATTGGCTCGGTTGATTATTGGGCAACCTTTGTTCCTTCTTTACGATGCTGCTTTCATTGCCGAACGAACTGCTGCAAATTATCGCTCTCGAGGTAAATCCAGCCCTCTCCTCATACTAAAATACGTTGAAGAGCACGCACCAGGCAGATGAGAGATCTCGCAAGCGGCTTAGACGAACCTGCAAGATCTTAAGTGATCTTTGCACCCCTCCTGTTTTCAGGTCCGTCAAAATGTACATCTCGTGGGACGGTCGCTGGACACCCTTGGCTCTTCTCTTTCTTACGGCACTCTCTTCTGGTCTAGAATTGGCACGACACATCAAACATCTTTCTGGGTTTCTTTCAGAGAGCAAAGAGCTTAACGATGCTGCTTCCTCTTCCATCAGCGATGCCAGGACCAGAAAGAGAGAGGAAGACGTCAAGCTCTTCAACCGTCTTTTTGTTGATGCTATTCTATTGATGATGTCGTTACAGTTGCTCTCGTTGGAACGCCTTGAAGACGATGGGAGGTGGAATGGATAGATTGTCTCGTCTAGCTGCGGAAACGTGCGTTCTATGTCTACCCTGCCCCTAAACGGACATATGCTACGATCTGAATCTGCCTCCGCCTTCTCGCACCTACGCTCCCATCGTGAGTCTAAGATAACTTCTTGCGGATTCTGAAGCATGTTAACTCGCGGCCTACAGCCTAAATAGTATTGATGGGTCGGCCCTAGCCAATGATGGGTATGATATTCAAACGTTTTGGCGACCTCTCCCAGCTTTCCAAGCCACAGATGTGTAGTTATGGTTCCTGGAGTATGCCCAGCGCAGACGAGAGCCTTTGGCGCTGCTAACATAAGGTCACTATTGGACTGCATGACAGTGAACCCCGAAAGTATGGAATCTGGAAGTTCTGAGGCGCGAATGCAGAGATTATCGATATTTCTGGCGGCTCGAAGGAGCCTGAGGAGGCGTATGAAATTTGGATTGTCATGAAGTAAATTGTTAGAAATATTCAGATTTGTCAAGGAGGCTGAGAATGCATCTATGTTTGGGAAGTGGGAAAAACAATCTTCGGGGAATGTGAGAAGGAGAAAAGTAAGTGATGGGGCATGCAGAGATTGGAAGATGTGAAAAATGGCACCATCGGGAGATTGAGGCTTTACTTTAGCATTGATACTTCGAACCGAAAGCATCGAGATATTCCAATGTGAAAGCCATTGTGCCTTATGGCAATACAGATTGAAGGTTTCGACGGACTTCTGCTGCTCCATAGCATCCATCTGTGGCTATTCAGGCATATTCAGTCAATAAAGACCATGAAAGATGTAAATGTCGCAGGGGTCGGCATAGACAATGGAATAGAATTTTCAAAGTTTCAGGGCTGACTAAAATGCATTAACGCGAACATACCGGTCTTGGGAATATTTGGAAGTATTAATTTCAACTGTCAGGTCTTGCAAATGAGGAAAAGGGTCCTCGCTAAATTCTTGCGATAAGGTGGTATTGCTTTTATTGGAATTCCTTCCATAAGTGCATGCTGACCTCCAATATCGCCAGAGCAGGATGCTGGCGGAAAGATTTGTAGACTTGCGTATGAATTCCAAGGAACACGATCGTGGCTCAGAGACTCTGGTGGTCTGCTCTTCACCGTGACGCTGTTCCAACCATCGACACACCAGAAGAAATTTTAGTGGTACAAGTCACCCGGCAGCATGCCCATGGGGGTAAAGATGATTTTATGATTTGGCGTCTGAAACTTCAGCTGCAAGCAGGTATTTTTCGAAGCGGGGAACTTTAGTAAGCCCTCGTTTCTTCGATCGGCTTTTCGAGCCCTTTCAGCCATTTTTCTCCGTTACTTATGGTGGTCGTTAACGTTAGCCTTTCAGTGTGCGACGGTGGCCCATTTTGCTGCAATTGCTCGGCAACGTGAGGAGACCGAAAAATATAGGGATCTGGGAGGGACAATCTTACCGGATGTGCATTGGACGCGTGTTTGGACAGGCTATAATTCGTCTTATAATTCCGGGGACATGCATTACTTAGTAGATAGACAGTACCTATTTTTTTCTTTAGCGGACTCATTATCTTCTTCAAGGCATTTTTCAGAGTGTTGTAAAGGTCTTAGGTAGAAATACGCAGTATTTAAAGAATGGGAGGGGGTGGAGACGATGAGCGCGCGACAACCTGCAAGTCTGTGACAAGGCGAGTATTTAAATAGTTTTAAGGTCAAAATTACGCATGTGCATGCCATAACGTCACACCATTTCATGGACTCTTTCGACCACGACAATCGACAACCACCACGACGATGAAGGCGAATCCACGTCTACATGAATGCCCACCATATTGATTAGCGCCCTTACTAGTGGGAGCGTAGGTGGGAGAAGGCGAAAGCGAATTCGGGCTGTAGCACGTGACTGTTTAGGCCAGGGTAGACGTAGTTTTCCCGCTTCATAGCCAGATCCAGACTACCCATCCATCCACCTCTTAGACCCTACAAGGGGTTCCACTAGCAGATGTGACACGTGAACTGTGCCTCATCCGATTGGTTGACCTCGCACCATCATGTCTCTTCTAGTGTTACCTGCAGACCTGTTGGAAAAGATTGTCATTAGCGTGAGCCGGAGTCCTGAGCTAATTATAGTTCCTTACTCTTCTTTATAGACAAATCATCGCACTACCAGCAGCAGTCAAATGATCTGACTGATATGCAGAACTGACTCTCTGCGATGTTGCCACACCTGTCGTCTTTGAATATTTTTGTATGCATTTTACGACGATGGAAAGGGATAAATCTCACGCTTGCTCAAGGAGCTTTCACAGGACCGACGAAAGGGCAGATTCATCCGAGCCCTCTACTTCTGTACATCCTCCGCCAGCTACAGACCTAATTTAAATGGTCTTCGGGATGTGTTATCATCGCTGAAGAACAATACCACATTTTTTGAGCGCATAGGGAAACTTTTTTTGGCTGCTATTCCGCAGATGCAAGCTTTGCAAAGTTTTTAGTGAGTAAAATTTGTTCGAGTTCCTGGACATCTATTCAGCATTGCAGTTGGGATACTCCAGGAAAAATAATGATGCGTTCGAACATAATGGACCAAATTATTCATTCGCTAAGCAATCACCCTCATCTCCGTTTCGTTAAGATATCAGCATTTGGAATCCAGCAGGATATCCCTTGCGCACCCTTCCGTGGCTTGACCCATTTGACCATTAATGGACATGGTTCCCTGGATTACATTCCCGCCATCATCGCCAACAGTCCTAGTCTATTCAGGCTCGAAGTAGTCATCTATCGTTACGACCGTCATTCCCCGTCACACTTTCCTGTGCTCTCTCTTTTCTGTTCGTTCCTGGAGGGAACGCATAGCTCTGTGCAGAAAGTGATTCTCTCAGGTGATTACCTCAGTCTGGAGCCATCAACCGTCCCCGCCCTTATCCCACATTTTCGGAAGCTATCGAATTACCGCCTACCAGTTGGCTTTGATGTTCCCGACGAATTCTGGAATGCCTTGCTTGACGCAATGGTGTTTCTCCATTGTGTGTCTTCAATCCCAGGTCTACAACTGCGCGATTCGTTCTTGAATTATCCTGGAGCTTATCGTGGTTTGAAGGAGGTACATCTGCGACTAGGGCGAATAAATGCCCAAGGCGTACAGGACGAAGGCCGTGCACGATTCTTTCTTCGTCGCATCATCCCGATGCATTCGTGGAGTTTAATAAACATCCTGGTGCAAACCGAATATGCAGGATGCTGGCGCTTTGATATTCCCATGCTCGAAACTCTACTACTGTGTACCAATCTTGCGTACGTCGGTATAAGTGTCGACCGGGATAGAGCACGAGTGAAATATAACGACAATGTCATTGCAAGTTTTCTCTTCATTGGCGTTCCTTTCATATATTTGACGGTGCGGTCATAGACAAAACTACTGAATAATCTGCCACAATGGCCTTTTCTGGAAGCGCTGAACATCGGGGCAGCCGTACCACGGTCCGTTCGCCCATTCCAGCCGATAAACCTCCCATGAGGGTTGTTTGTGTCCGCGTTGTGTGTTGCATCACCGCTTTCCGGTGCAGAGACCCAACAAGTCAGATGCGCAAGCTGCAGAACTGTACAGACTTTCTGCCTGGCTTCCGGCTTGTTAACTGGGATCCTGTCAAATATCAGGATTATTACTTTATACGCTTGGGTATTTCCGATGCAGCTATGCGTGTCATAAAAGCGACACGAAATCTCGCAGAGATTGGAAGAGTGAGTGAAGACGACGAATAATGATAGGAACTACAATATGAATATCTCGCTGCGTCATACGTATACACCTCTGAAAGCAATAATTTCGTGCGGTCGAAAAACAGTACAATATCTATGTCCACAGTTACAGCTACAAAAGTCCAAGTCCATACTAATCATGATCATAGAATATCTCTACACATTCCGAATAGCATCTCACAGCACAGCGCCCAGCACCTTTCCATCCGGAGTCATTGACCTATCTGGACATCTAACAAAATACCTATCCACTGCTTTGATGAACCTCTCCTCATACTCCTTGGGAGGAATCACCGTAACCTCTCCCTTCTCCCGCCCAGGAAGATTCAGGTTCTGCTTTGCCTTGCTCTCGATAGTCTTTGCAAATGTATAACTGCCTGAAAGGTTGTTAGCCAGGATGAGAAAATTAAAATGGATGAAACAAACCTATGGTATCAACCAAGCCGACCACCAGCAGTCGCTCAGGCCCTTCTCCAACTCCCAACAGCAGAGAATAGTCCATGATATTACCCCTCGTCAAAAAATCTGTATCCCTCTGTATCGCCTCTCTCAGCATCTTCTTCGAGTGTGGATCAACCAATATCGTCTTTTCACGCTGCATGTCGATCCACTCCCCGTCAAAAAGTGTCTTGCCTTTATTCTCCTTCCCTTTACGTTCAACGTCCTCCTCCGATGTCGTGACCGGCTTCGACCTCCGACCCTTCATTCCCTTCAGATCAAACATCTTGAGCCCACTAGCATAGCCATAGAAAAGGTTCTCCATGACAACCAAATCCGCTCGGTCTCCGCCTGGCCCCTCGACGGAATACACGCCGAGCATCTTCACCATTGTACTCTCTCTTCCCGAGGTATTGTTGATATAGGCAACGTACTCGGGCGCCAAGGAGAGAAGAACTGGTCTGCAGCAACATTCCATGAGCAGCCCTGAGGATACAGAGATATACTCACAGATCGGCCACCCCCCACTTACTGACCAGCTCTTTCATTATATACCGCCCGTCAGCTGTGCGCCAAAACCCGACATGACTCTTGCCTCCTTGTGCTTCCCAGCCCTCCGTCCGGCACAAGCTCTTGATGTACTCGCCCATCACTCCACACCGCCTTCTTAGCTCCTCGAATTCTCGAGCATAGTACACGGTCACACTCCACTTCTTCACCACCCCACTCGTCCCTTTCACCGACAGATCGCATCTCACATGCGGACGTTCGTCGATGCCCGCAGCGTCGCCTAAGAGGCGAACACTCTTCAATGCATTCATAAAGAATGAGCCTTCTCTTTCCCTGTTACCCAATGTCGGCACTTCAAGCATGTCCTTTGGCGGTAGAACAGGGCCAACAACTCCTTCCTGTTTCGAAACCACGACACTGGAACTACCGACACTGATCTGACTTGCAGGCCTGCTGCATTTCCCGGCTCCGTTCTTCTCGTCACCTATCTTTCCCTTCCCCAATCCCGCCAAGCTTCCAAATCGACCGCTCATTCCTCCTACACCCATCACCAGCCCAAGGCCTACACCGACTCCCTTCCTACACACGTGCAGTTCATGATCTTCCAAATGCCACTCTGGTGCGAGCGAAGAACCACGAAAGACGGCAGAGAAGAATGATGCGGTCGACGACGACGTGGACACAGATATGGCAGGAGAAACGGCGGATGGTTTAGAAGTAAACGAGGATGGCGGTTGGTAAGATGAACTTGGAAGTGGTCGTAAAGGTGGTCGAGTAGGTTGTCCGGGGCTGGACATCGTTTCAAGCTCGCGCTGATATTTCGGAGAACTGGAAGGGCGTGACGTCAGTACGAGAACTCAGAAGCAGAGTAGATTCAGAGGGAAAAAAGCTCCGTCCAACGTATCCGCAGGCAGCCGCCACAAGGAAGCCGACGTACCTCAAGCACCATGCAATAACACTCCCCCAATCATCCTCTTTAACAATGACATTGCTCCCCGCCAAGACATGGCTCCTCTGCTCCCACCAAGAAGGATCCAATGTTATCTTTCCAGTTCCCGGCTTATTGGCGCCCCCATCGTCTGCAGTCCTCGATGATCCCTTCGAAAGCGTCTTGAACAAGTTCTTATCCCTTTTCTCCCGCCATTCAGTCTCTTCAAGCGCATGTCTCGCCCCCTTCAGGAATCCTCGTCGAACATCATTGAGCCTCCCCACGGGCGTACGCACTAACTCCGCGTATAAAGCCTGTTCTGTACGATGAAATGACTCCCGAAGGTCCGGTATCAATTTCTTTGTCTCTGTATCGTCGGCAATAGAAGGAGTTGCGGAAAAGTGCCCAGACGTCTTGACGTCTTGATCCTGCATCCCCGAAGGTAGCCCATCAACCGATACGAGCTCCTCGAATTCAGTATCGTCGTGGTGAACCCACTCGGACGGCACTCTGGGAAGAGCCTTCGACCGGGTCCACTCGTACTCGTCATCCGAATGCTAAAATAAGTTTCATCGTGAGCAAAAATACAGAAAGAAAACACGGAGAGTAAAGAATGGTTTCATCGAAGAACGAACAGATCCAACAGATCTAGACCGTAAAAAAAGACCGATTAATACCCACCTCAGCTTCAATCGCTTCCAATAAATCTAATCTCGTTCCTATGCTCTCCCACCAAGCACGAATCTCTCGTCGTAGCTCAATCTTCTCCAGGTTATCATCGTCTTCACCCTTCTCTTTCGAGGAAAATGAAGATCCGCCATTGGAAGCATCACTTGCGAGAACCTGAACGCGCGGTACCCGGACTGTATAGATCCCACCCAGTTCTTGCGTCCAGAAGCATACCTCCTTCCCTTGGCATTCAAAGGTGTATCGTATCTTGGCCAGGGCCGGACAGGAGCATATCGTCGGTAAAGGCGGGCGATATATGAGTAGTTCGAGGAACTTTGAGAATGATAGTAGCCTGTAAACAAGTAAATCTGGTCAGCGAGTGAAACCGAATGCGAAACCAAAAATATAGATATAGGTGTTTGCCATGTTGACATACGTTGACCGTGATACGACGAAGATAATGCATAAAGAATCTCCGAATTGAAAGGTGATGGAAGAGAGGGCAAAGAATGATGAGGTGATTAGAATTAACTACTGACCCAGCAGTCCCAAGACTTTTCTTCTCAGCCTTCATGCCGCATGTGGCACAGCTCAGGCGCAGGGAGGGCTCCACATCTTCGCTATCCTGACTCCTATCCTCTTTCTCTTCGTCGACAACCAACCGATCTTCTGAAGAAGGATAAACGGTCTCTACTTCAACCTTTGCAAAGACACAGATGCCCGCATGTATCCACTTTCTTGTAACCGGGTGTGGGATACTTCCTTCTTTCCCACGCAATAAATCCCTGACGACCTCCACCACTCTGCGATCTCTCTGTCCATAAAACCGAGCGTGCTCTTCTTTGTCGTCCTCAAGGTATGTCAGTCCCTGCATCTGGACCCATTCGTCGATGCCTGCCGGTCGCGAAGAAGGAGGGAACGTAAGACCCGGACTGGTTGATAGAAGTGAACGCTGATTCATAGTGGATTGTCGCGTTGATGGTTTGCGGTCGCGGTGCCGGATATGCTCGTTGGGCTGTTCTTCGGTAACAGAAAGCGAATGCGAGTGTCGGTGAGAGAGCAGCCGCTTCAGCCTTGGCAGTGGTGCATCCTGCAAGCTCTTCGTGGGCGTTAAGTCCAAGGATCCGCCCCATAGTTTCTTGGTACCCAGTGGTCCAAGGCTTTTACCAGAGCTAATACTTCCAAACCATGAGCGTATAGTATTGGGAATAAATGAATTGCGCCTTGATGAACCCGAGTCCATTTCCACGGGTGAGGAGGTCATACGTGGAGGGGTAATAAGCGAAGGGATCGGTGTTGATGACGGGAAACTGAGCTGCACCCCACACCCCCGCAAGAAAGCTTGCTCCAGAAGAAGCGAAAGATGAAGATAAATCGCACAGCTGATTCGATTCCGCCATATATCTTTGTCTGACTCTGGATTCGAAGTCATGACTATGAAAGTACCGCCGACACAGGGTCCTATAGCCGGAAATTGAGATAAACAGAGTACTGTCATGATATCAACGAACCTTCGGTTTCCGCATTATCTCTAACTTGGTCTGTTCCCGCAGCTGCTGAAGAATTACTTGTTCGAGCACGATTGGCAGAATCTACGAGCGTCAAAGTGAGGAAATGTGGACGACGAATTGACAATGACGTACCTTCTTTTCCAAATAATATCTGCCCATCCCAGATACCTACTTGAAATTTCACCGTCACTTTGTTCTGCAAACGAGTCCTGGTAGCGGCGCGAACAATATAAAATCCATAATCTTCAGCTGACTCTGGTTGTCGGCGCTCGATGCGAAAGTGAAACAGGAACGTCGGCGTCGTGGAATTTGACGCAAGACATCCACCCCGGTTCTCTTCGATAGACCTGTCCAAGGCGGCATCCTCAGTAACTCCCGGATTGGAAGGCAAGAGCAACGAGTTCTCCATCGTCGTCAACGCCAGCAACACCACTCGTCCCATATCATCCAGCACCGCGTCAATAACTCCGGGCCCTACTCCAAGGTATTCTAGCACCTGTCTGCGATGCGTCCTCCCTTCTATCCATAGCTCTCCTATTTCGTCGTTGGTGTCAGGATTGCCGTCATTGCAACTGGAGTCCTTGTCGATAGTCACTGAAGAGGGTGTTGGGGTCGTCGATGGCAGCGAGGGTAAAGGTTTCTGGTGGGAGTTCATCCGGGCATGGATCCACCGTTGTCGTCGTCGTTGCGGTTGTCGGTCTTGGTGGATGAAAGGACCATGAAATGAATGTGACGTCACATGCACGTGCCTGGTGCTGAAAGTATTATTTAAAATAAATAAATAATAAAACGCGACTGTCCAAACTCCACTCCGTGCTTGTCAGACAGAGAACGCTTCGAGAATGCTGCCCCCCTCCCCCCCAAAAATAAACAGGTGCTATCTGCGTTTCTAATCCATACATGCATGTATTTACGAGACAAGTTCTAGATGCCGGAACCCCTCGTAGGGTCTGAGAGGTGGAGTGGCTGGATGGATAGTCTAATCTGGCTACAAGCGGGAAAACTATGTCTACCCTGCCGTAAACAGTCACGTGCCACGGCCCGAATCCGCCTTCGCCTTCTCCCACCTACGCTCCCAATGCATGCATATCTTGCGAAATTAGTCCTCTCCTAGATCTGCCTATTTTTTTGCTCGTCTTCGCGTAGTAGCTGTACTGCTGCAGAAAAATCGTAGTCCATCCCATGATGAAAATTCCATCGTTTATGGGCCATATCTATGTTGACAAAAGAAGGACGTCAGAGCTGTCAATGCAAATCACGGAAACCAGCTACTGAAAATCTTACTCCTCGAAAAAAGATTATCTTTCTTTTGACGCAAAGGTCCCGTAAAATCATCCTATTTTTACATACTCACAGATTTGAACATAAGCCAGGCCGTGGCTGATTCGTTGCCATCCAGGGTCCATCATTTTGAAATGGATCTAGTTGGGAAGCCTCGGCAGACAGGTCGGTTTCATTCCGAGTACCAGGCCACTGGACTTCTGGGATCTTCTGGGTTGGTTGCTCGCGACCTCCCGCAAATCTCTGTATCGCCTTTTTGCCCCTCTCCTGTTCCCATCTCTTGAGTCATGTATCAAAATTTCACGCTATACAGTTCAGATGTGATGTGCTCCTACGGCCTCACAGCTACTCATTCCAAGAGAACATATTTTCGCTCGACACTACCAGCATCGCGTCCCAGATCCGCATGAGATTAAGCGGCAGGCCTGGGTACTGCACGGAGACATTGCAGAGAATTTGGCAAGTCAAACAAATTGATGGTATTGTGGAAAAAAACATGATATGGTACATCTAAAGCAAACTTACCTCTGCCACAATCATTTCAGCAGTTCTTCTGATGAGGACGTGTTGGGATTTTGCCGGAAAGTTCTAGAAAGGGAAATCCGACATCATGCCGAGAGTTGATGAGTAAGCTCGAGAGAAAGAGAAAGTTGTAGTAAATTCTAGATATAAGCCTGGAGAGTATAAATACAAGCTCTATAGGAGCTGCAGAATAACAAGTTCATTTTATCTGGCCTTACCAGCCTGGAGTCTACCCTGCGCAACACCCTGGATTTCCAACAGGACGTGATAGCACAAACCGAACAAATCAAATTTGACTAAATAATAATTTCACGAAGCTAGGTAGTATCCATCCACGTGATAAGGCCATCTTGATCCCGACCAACGAGGTCCATGTTATCGTTACCGCCAGAACTCCTAGGAAAGATAATTTCCGAGGTAATTCTTTTTCTAGGTAACTGATTAAATGCATCTAAATCGAACCAGGCTGCTTTAGCTGACCGGAAACGACTGCGGTCCACATGTAAACTCTTTTCCGCAATCGCCACACCATTAATTTTCGAAACTATCGCTATCGACTTCACCAAGATGACTCAATCGAAAGCTGTCAGATTTCTGAATAACTAACTGGAGGCAAACAACTGATCAGATATGCCAGAACCATCATCTTCAGGTCCACCGCCACTCGGCGCAAGAAAGTCCTCGATCGGCTCTGGTCTTCCATGAACATTGCCCAGAAGAATGAGATACCTGGACAGAGCATAGATGAGCCGCTTCTAGTTGCTGTGTCACATATGCAGTTGCTACGCAAAGTTGTGTAAGCGGTGTTATCGTTCCTTGATTTCTTCAATTGTTTACGATCTGCCATAGCTGGAACTAGTTTAATCCTGGAACTATGGAACCTGAAACAATACCTAAAATTATTCTACGCCTCATCAATCTTCCCTTTTTGTCTGAACTATCTATCAGTCAGTTTTGACCAGAGCATACCATACCTTTTGGTCCATTCCACAACCTCAGAAGTCTTACCATTCACGGACACATCACGATTGACGATCTCTCCTCCGTTATCGCCAATAGTTCACATCTTGTCCAACTCTGTATCCATTATTATCAAACATGCCGTGGCGACAACACTCCCATTCTACTGCTTATTTCGTTCTTCAATGCCTTCCCGCAGGGCAAATTCAGTACCCTCCAGATTCTAGAATTAAACAGTCATCATATATCTCTACGTCCATCTACCATTCCATCGCTGATCCCGCCCCTGCGACAGCTCACGAATTTCTCTGCTTCCAGCTTTGTCGTACCGGCCGTGTTTTGGGATTACCTTCGTGATGCCAAAATACATCTTAAAGGTCTATCACTTAGTCATCATGCAGGAGACACTATGTTATTGCATTACTTATCCTCTTTCACTAGTTTGCAACAACTCGCCGTTTCCTTGCATCGTTCGGTGGATTACAGCGGATACCTCCAGCTCCGACATTGATTCATGTATGTAACCGAGGTCTATTCCCACCTCCTGACCAAGCTCCGTATTACATCGGTTGCTCCGTGGGAGTGGTGCTTGAGCGAGCTCATGATGTGCCACCTTGTATCATGCATTCATCTCGAGAGTATCACTGTTCGTGTCGAAGACAGCTAGAGTGAAGGGCAACACGAACGTTGTTGTGAGTGTCACTCTGATGTAGAGTACTCATAAGATTGACATCCAATAATAGCAACAGCCTATATACCATCCGCATCACCCAAAATCCTTAGAAAGCTATCCGCTCCAGCTGAAGCCTGATACTATATAGGCGTAGCTGCAATCTCCCAGCCTGATGTTCTGCGTTTATTTCCTGCGATCCTACACCGAGAACAATGTGACATATTTACATGGTACAAAGAATACACATACACGTCATGTTCGCGAGGCTGGCGTTTGAGAGGAAAGAAGTGCCATGCGAGAAGAATGGAAGACTAAGTGGATTCCTACCTGCCAGTCGATCTAACACCCTAAGTGATTCCGAACTACGGTAATAAGTTGAATATTTTATGTCATTCAGAATCATCACAACCTCCACGAGTGTCTAGAGACTAGTACATGCAGTCCGCAAGAGATTCAAAGTCCAAATTGAATCATAACCAAGGATCCATCACCTTTAAGCTCTCCCTTGAGTCATAGCCTCATTCATCCAGGCCCAAAGATAACAATTAATTAACTACACATGTATCCGTTCAGTAAACAACGAGGATTTAATGGCTGATAGTGGCCTGCGCACCACGCTCAAACCGCCACGTCTGGTGCAGACCGTTCCACTTGGTCCAGAGCATAATCGGGTCTCCTGGAACGGAATCTCGGTAGTTCCACAAGTCAAAGTTGTACGTAGTGTTTGGGGCAAAAACCCTGTTCGTGACGAGCATGAGTGGGCGGCGACGATGTTGTTCTACAAGTAAGCGCTTACCGGAACGTGGTCGGATCGATCTCGTCGTGCCAAATGTGCCACTCAAATGGCTCAGCGATGGCTAAGAGCTTGGTACCATTGCCTGAAGAACCGTCAAGCCCAAGGTATTGTTGCGAAGACACTGAACGGAAAGTCCAGGAGCGACCGGTCCAGGTAAGGATCCACTATCTTCGCTTCAGCAAGGATGAAAAGAAATCCAGTAAAGGAGTATACCTGTTGGTTAGCGCCGTTGTGGTCGGGATATCCAATTACTATCCAGTATAGATAAGATCGGAATACGAAGGATAATCAATCAACTTACTGGCTCTGTTATCAACTCCAGAGAGGTCTAAGACTGTCCCAGATTTGCGTTTCTTATCTTGTACGTGGAACCAGATTCGACCGACATAGCTGGAGCGGTGGCAGAAGAAACGACCGTGAGTGAAGGTGGCGATAGGATGAACGATTGCTCTTTTATAGCAAGGCACCACCTATGTCACCAATCGATTACACTATGACGATGGCGAGGTTATTCGGACGTCATACAGCGCCACTCCAAGCACTAGAATCAATGGACAGCGATGATAGAGTGGGGATTGAGAATGGTGTTAGAATCTTTTTTTTTTGTTTTCAGCACCTGATTAACCCCAACAAGTAAGTTAACTAATAAGACACAATGGAAGTACAGGCCCTCAGGATCCTCTCTCCCTCTTGTTCCAGTCCCTCCGCTCTTCTGAGTTCCCCTGGTGTTTTGGCATGTAATGTGGAGTAGAGTAATGGACATGTATGGTACTTTGCACCCCCATGGTGGACTAATTGATTAGTTTGGTTCTGCAGTTGGCTGAAGCCGTGAGGTGCTTTGTGAGCATGTCTTGAGTGCCAGCTGGGTTGGTCATATTCCATGGTGTGGTGGGTACATGGCAGCTATCCATGCTCATCTGCTGTGTCACCTTCATCTTTTTCCCACCACTCTCCCTCTTCTTCTGGCTCTGGGGTGAGCCTCTCATTTCATAGTTGTCCCATCCAAGTGAGCACTCCTGTGTTTTCCATGAACTTGCTCAGTGTTGTGATTCCTTCCTTGGTGCCAAGGATGTCCAGTAGGTACATGGTCCTTGACATGTTCTGAAGGGTCCCTCATTGCTCTTTGTAGAGGGGGCATTCACACAGGATGTGCTCCTGTGTCTGAAACATCTCTCCACAAGAGCAGTCAACATCCTTACTTGCCACAAATTGTGAGTAATACTTGCCTACATATCCATAGCCTGTTCTGCACTGGAGAACTTGGCTGAATATCTCTATTTTTGCTGTGAGGTCTATGAGGTGCTGTGTTGGCTTCAGTGACAGTGGTATTCTGTTTGCCATTGCATGGCATTCCCATTTAGGCCTGGCCTCCTATACCTTTCTCCACTCTTCTAGTGTTGCTGACTTTGCCTCCCTTCTAGCATTGGCTCTCATTCTGCCCATAGCTTCTGTTGTTTTCTCTACTTCTCCATCTGTTGTCAAGTTGCTGTATGACTGAGTTTCAGATGCTCAGCTTGTTCAGTCTCACCATGGCTTGCCTTGTACACTGGTCTAGGTATAGCCAGATTGGTGGTATCAATGTTTTGATTTTAATGGCTTCTATTGGCATGGTGTGGAACACTATGGCTACTTTGCATAGTGCTTTTTGCTGTACCCATTCCAGCTCTTTTTCATGTGTTTTCTTCCCTGTTGTAGAGGATTTGCACCCTATGACTATTGTACCCTTACATTACCCCTTATTTTTCATTGACCTTTCTTTTACCTTACATTGTTCCTCAGTTATCTTTCTCTTGTTTACCCCCTATGCCACTCTAGATACAGTATAAATACCTAGATACTTCATACTGAAGGACATCCATCTTCTTCCCTCTTACTCACTCTCTTCTCTCAATATATGTGCATATTTGTTACTCTACTTACACTGTCCACCATGCTGTTGATGCATACATTAGGAATGGGCATACACATGCTATGTATAGTTGTCAGTATGTAAATGAACTGTATTGTCTCATACCTAGATAAACAGAAGTATGATACATAAGTAATATAAGATATATTAGAAATGTCTATAGCTCACCTCAGTCTCAACACATTCTAGCATAAACAGACTGAGGAAAAGAGAGGTGCATCAATTGATGTACCATAAATAGGCTAGCAAATAATAGAGCCACTCTTGGTGTATCCCAAAAACAATCAGATAACAACACTTTTTCTCACTGAGAGTCTCCTCCTCACATCAAATGTTAACTATCACAACCCCATGAATCCTCTGAAATGAACAAATGCTTCAGGTTATGAAGTCTTTATGAAGCAGTCAGCAAGATTATCTTTGATGTTGACATAGGACACAGCAATTTCTTTGCTTTTCATGCATACCTGGGTAAAGTGATATTTGATGTTGATGCATTTGACACATGCATGCAGGGAAGAATCTTCAGAGAGATTAATTGCACTGTTATTATTGCAAAGAAGTGATGTCAGCCTCTCCTGGATAAAATTGATGCCATGAGGCAGTGCATGGAGCCAGATAGCTTTCTTCATAGCTTCACAGGAGGAGATTATGACTGTCTGCTGTTTGCATGCACTTCAGGAAACTATGCCAGATCTAAATGAGAAGCAATATCTACCAATACTATGATGAATATTAAGGCAGTTCACCCAATCTGAATCAGTGAATCTGATGACTTTCACAATATTTGAATGGACACCAAGATGAAGTTTCAAATCTCTGGTACCCTTGAGATAATGAACTACTCAAACTGCTTCATTCCAATAGGCATATGAGTAACTGTCAAGGAAACAGGATAATTTTTGGACAGCATAGAATATGTCTGGATGCGTTCTGACTGTGAGATAGATGAGAGAACTGACTAGTGAATGATATAGCAGTTTCTAGAGTTCAGCTCAATCTTCTGGTGAAAGCATAGAGGGATCATGTCAATAGAGTTTGAGTCCTGCATCCATGGGAATCAAGATTGGGTGCACATCTGCTTGACCAAATTGAGATATAATTTGGTCAATGAGTGCTGTTTGTAATAGAGCAATAGTGTGATCTTCACAGTTTCAAGATATGGCAATGCTGACACAGAACTTCACTTCTCTAAGGTCTGAGATCATCCACTTTTCTTTTATCTTCACCTTGAACTTCTCATTCTTTGCCTTTGAGCTGGCTACAGCTAGAAAATCATCAACATGGACTGCAGCAAGAATAGTGCCAGTAGCTGTTTTTTTGGTGATATATGCAGTATACTGCACAGAGACAAGTGAAACCCCATGAAGTCATTGCTTTGTTCATTCTTCTGTTTCAGATTCAGCCACTCTGTTTCATACAATACAGTCCTCACTGCAATTTTCGCATGAAGGATCAACAACTTATATTTAAATATAGCTGGGTAAGGGATACATAGCTCTGTCTCAGGAGTATATCAAAATCGTTGGTTGAAGAGACTGGCCAGTGAGAATGAACTGTTATAGGATGTCCTTTATGACATATAATTTATTCTATCATCAGTGTGCTCACCGCCGTCTATCTGCATATACCTAAGTAGAGAATGTCATTCTATCGGTACATTGTAATATAAAGGTAAGACGAAAGAAGAAATCGAAAGAAGTGATTGGTGCTTAACAGTTATCGAACTCCATCCGATCCCCGTGGGAAAATTGAATTCTATATTGTCTGCCTCCCATTTCTGCAGCGCTCTGCATTGCTTCCTAATCCGAGTCTCTTCCGTGTCGACTCTCGTCACCTGGAGAACCTGCAATACCTTCATCCGCATTGTCCCAGCTATTATCATGAGAGGGACCTCCAGTACATTGTTCCTCTGTACTTCCCTGACTATATAAGCCTGAGCGATGATCATCTGAATGACCTCCGAAACGAAGTGAGGAAGCAACACTTGTGCTCCAGGAATCGTCGGGTCGTGCCTGTCCTGCCGCTACCCGGCCGACGACGAGTGTAGGAGCAATTCCCTAACTTGACTTGAATACCAAGGATTTTGATTCTGAAACAGAGAAAGGACGCACCCGCACCACGGCAGCTAGAGTGTCAAGATACTGCGCGGTTAAAGTCTCACGGGCAACAAAGATGACATATAGGAGCAGTGCGAAGGAATACAAGAAGGCAGATTCCACGAGAATTTCAATAGCGCCTCTGTATGTTTTAATACCTGTCCCTCCACGGTCAGCGCGGACAACGGTGATGATCCGGTATATAATAAGGAGAGTACATAGAATGTTTGTCGCCAGAACCAAGGAGAGGTATAGAATGACCCATGTGGCATACGGATCATATAATGTGGTACCCTGCAGGTTAGTCACATTATAAATATCGATCACATAATGATAGATATACATGACCTTGGCGACTCCATCATTCATCAGTATTCCCTGGGATGACATCAATTTTATGAGAATAACTGACCTGTCGCAACAATGGTGCAGAGAGTAGGGAGAAGCACAATTAACCATCGTTGACCCCAAACAGTCCAGCATCGCCAAATCTGCACGATCACATGAATAATTTAGTGCGTTCGACATGTGCAATACTTCAAGCCAGCTTACCATTAATATATCTGCAATGATCGTGCCAGTCGCACCAGCAATTTCAACCACTAACAGAGTTGGCAAAAATCCGTCCATTTTTTGCAAACCAAGGAACATTTCCCAAAAGCTCCATGCATTTCTGATGAATGCATAGTGCACAATCCACCATACAATAGAAAAGGAGATGACTTCGAAGATATAAAGGCATACAATGGCCAAGACCATGATTATTTGTCGTGGTCCGATCTGAAGGCACTTGGGAGAAGCTATTGCAACATGTCAGGAAATCTGAATGATCCAAACCACAGACATAACGAACACCGAAAGATGCTCCACAGCGAGATAATCAAGATTCCCGTGTATACTCCTGCAGTACAAGTGAGATTTTGTACCTGTTTTAGTGAAGGAAACATACCATCGCAAAAGGCATTCAAGATAGTTTTGTTCAGAAAGGCATCCATATTCCCAAAGACTGCTTGTATATCCTCGCTTGTCAGATCCGGGATATCCACCGTTACTGACATTGCTGTGGGAATGGAGTTGTGTTGTGGGACTCTCCGCTGATATCTCCCAGTAATAAATATGCAGAGGATGCCTAGCCCTCCAAGACTCCAACGAAACAAAACATAAAGATCACCAAACTTCCTGGAGATCTGAAACATACGTAATAGAAAGCAGAAAAATCAAGATGTGAGCGTTCATCAGATCAACCTACAGGAAGTACTGAAGTAGCAGTTTCATACAAGTAACCGTGTAGTGATCTTTGAGGCTAAGTAAAGCTATGAGCAGCAGAAAACTACGGAAGTACCTCAAAGAAGGTTGGGCTCTGATCTTAACCACTGTTATATTCGACACTGAGGTCCGAGACGGTTCTTCGCCATATCATCATAAGATCCACCTACTCGTACTCGATCACCGGTACAGTCAAAGAAGCGCATCTTACTTCAACAATATATGTATGTGTGAATCTGAGCATTTTTGAATGGTATCAAACCGCGGATAGTCGCAGAATAACAGAAACATTGTTGTTGCCGCAGACCGAGGCCTCGTCGCGTTGTTACGCTTGACAGCAAGAGAGGAGGCCCCTAACTGAGGAACAGGACAGCGTTATTTGCATCATCGTTATATGCATGAAGTACATACCCGGGGCACCTTACTATAACCATCTAAGGAGAATAGCGTTCAAGAGACATGGATATTGATAGCGTACTGCTCCAGAGAAAACTCTTGATTACGCATTAGCTTTACCATCGACCGGCAGACAGAATCATATCTTCAGAAAAGCCAGCTTACTCAGCCCAGCCAACACGTACGTCATGCTATAGGATTCGTCCGAGTCGGTCATCCGCATTTCGAGACAGTAGATCTATATTTACCATCTCTTCGATGTGAGTAAGTGCCGTCACTCCACATCCTCTGTCGCACAAAATGCCAAATCATGCCTCACTACCACTGAAATTGGTTGTTAGAAAACATTCCAATGGATGAAAGAGAAAAAAATCAGAAAAGGATCAAGAAGAACCCCTACAACATGCTTAACATCGTCGAATAAAATTCATCTCGTCGAGATAACTCAAGAGAACGGATTCAAGATAAAATTTAGAGGTCTTTCAAGCAGTACGAAGAACAGCGTATTTTTGCCTATGACTCTAGCTCACCGGAAGCTGAACAGTAAGAATGGGATATTATTGTGCAGTTGGTCGTCAGTTGTTAGGCCTAAAAAGTATTGGCTGGAGCGTGCAAATGGACAGCTCTTCGCTGACAATGTGCATGCTGCGTCGCCTATGAAATCAGGAAGAATTAGACGGTATAACAATCAGATGAACATTGAAAAGTAACAGGCTGATAGACCCACCACGAGATATGCCAGTATCTGGTTATGGATTAGACCAGAAGCTCATCTCGGGGGAATCATTGGCTACGTCGGCAATTCTAATTTCTGCTAACAGCAGTATGGGATGATGATTCTGTCACTCTGGTTAGACAACGGATGGTCTTCTAGAAACTGTCCATTATCCCCTTCTCCCCATAGAACCACCTTCTTCGATATATCTCGTTCTTATCAGCCATTTACACCTCAGGTTCAGGAACATCAAGGCTTTCCCCATTAAGTCAATGAAAGTTCTTCACGTAAATCTTCTATATTCTTACAGAAATCCCTACTGGCCATCCAGCTCGCCACCCTGAAATCCCGTAAGAGTGGCTTGAATGGGGAAAGGCCACTACGATATTATACAAAGACGTACGAATCTAAAGCTTCAAAATTTTCCTCATCACATGCCTCACCATCATATCCTCTATCCCTGTACACACATCCCTATGCTTCTGCCACCCCCGCACATCAAACTCCCTCTCCGCAAACACAAACCGCTCCAAGCACCCCAAGCAACACACCGACCGCCGCCGTATCGTCTCCCGCTCCACCCACTCGTCAACTTCCAAAAGTCGCCTGCCTGTATCCGGATCGATCTCCGCCACCCCGGGAGTGTAGTCAAAGAAGTGCGTCTTAATAAGGATAAAGTTCTTCAAGGAGACGCAAGTGGTGTAGCTGAATGTAAGGAGTTGTGCGGGCGTCAGGGCGAACGATGACGCGTGGTCAACGTCCGCCAGAAAGAGCGGTGGATGGGCTCCGAAAATGGGTGCGATGAAGCGGCTGGCTCGTTTTGTGAGTGTCTTTGAGCGGGCTTGGAGCCATGCATCGCGGAGGGAAGTGAAGTTGAATATGTATAGCTGTTTGCTGTTGGCATGGCTGCCATCGTCGGAGCTGGGTTTGGCCATTGTGGGTAGGCCAGTGGTATGATGAGAGCAATGGAGCTCACCTTTAATAGGCGAGGCAAAAGATCTATTGCATATTCGCATTCGTTGAGTTACTGCTATGCCACTTTTTTGTTTCCATTGTGCTTGAAAGGGTCGCATTGTAGAGGTCTTTTATTGTGCTATCGAGATCAAAAACCGAGGACAAACGAAGCAGGGATTTGAAGCAAAATATGCGGTTGTAGACTGATAATATCTTTGCAGGGCTATCGAAACCTCTCTATATAGCAGGGAAGAAAAAAGGTCTCGCATCCGGATTGCTCTATCTACAGAGACGTCGCGGCTTCGACGACGAGCGCTATATCAGGTCCGCGTTTGATTGAATTGAAGCAAAGACGTTCTGCCCGAGAAGCTCCGAGGACTTTCAACTCCGAACCACGTTAATTCAACACCAGGCCAACCATCACACTGGTAGCGGCTCCTACTGGTGCTTTCGCGCGTCATACAGCATCGTTTTCTGCTGCCCTGCTCTGTGGTCACTCGTATTTCCTCCGCGAGTGCTGTAGCACGCCTTCTGACTGCTTTATGAGCGAGTACGATTAAAAAATTGCTCTCTCAAACAATGCAAACATATCCTCATTTACAGCACGTCGCTGAAACTCATCGTGCATCATCATTCGACGCAAGCACTGAATATGAAAACAGCAATCCTTCTACAAAATTCTACCGATGGCATTCTCTCACGTCTCTATGGTTACACGCAACATCGCTGTCTGCCTATGCTCCCGATTCTACCATCAAGGGGCTTCAGAATCAATGAGGCTTACGAAAGGGATGCTATTGGTAGTCCCTGTGCAACGGAGAAGTTGAGCCATACTCTCGATCTGTATGGTCGGTCTGTTCCTCTTTGTGGTCCTGCGATGCTGATATGATTGCAGCCAGTGGTTCTCAGAGTCTCAGCCACAACGAGTACGAGTATAAGTAAAACGAAACTCAGGTGCGTATCATCCTCCGTCAGCTAGTATATTGCAGGCTTCTTACATTTATTTCGCCAGCTAAGAGGCGGTGTCCAGTGGGCTGACTGATTCATAGGCATTTTCTGTCCTTCCATATTGAATACCGGACCAAGTGGCGCGTTTTGAACGTTTCCATAAGTCGTGTTGAGCTTCCGGGCTAGCAGCGAGTCTCTATGCACACCGCTTTTCCTTCCCTCTAACCCTCGAGCAAAATTTGAATGTCAAGATTTAAATCACACAGCCTCCATCCCAGCTCTTGGAGACGTTCGTCAGCTCGACGAATTGATATGATCATCAAGGCACTAATACATCTCGGCGGAGCCACTGGGCGACTCGGTGAACCATTCCGATGGCAGCGCATGATCTTCCAGAAACTATCATTCAGTAGTATGGACGACTTGTCAATCCACAGTATACCGGCGACAACATTTTCGAGTCTTGTGGTATATTCTTCATGAATCCTTACCTTCGGCATATCGACCTTGTACTTTTTACGTGTACATACTACAGGCACAGAGGTATTGGGATGCTACATCGCAAAACCTTTTTCCTGATGCACTACGGCCTATAGTATATTTCGTTGCCCGAGTATCTCAGCTGGATTCAATTACTACTTCCAGTATACTCGAGATGTTCTTGATGGAAAATTTGGCACCAGTGTGGTGTTTCAACAGTAGTCAAATTACGGAAAGCCTATTGTACAGTATTTACAGAGGAAAGAGACAATACTCGGGTCAAATAGCTATGGCAAACACGGTCACCTTACCACTGTTCGCTGGCAGGACGCACTGATGGACACATTCATGATTAGACGAAAAGAATTGCTGAGCAACATTTCACTTACGATCCAATTCCCACGTCCACGCTGTTTTTTCTTGTTCGGCAAGATTGAGGTACGCCTATAGAAGGTGGGAGTCAGCAACAGGATAAATGCACGAATCCGGAAAGCGCACTTGAGCGATACTATCTGGGTTGAGCCCGACCATGCGTTCACCGTTTCGCTCAATAGCGGACCCGGTTTTGATAACTGAAAATCCACAAGAGAAGCTTATTATCAGAAAGTGGAGAACACGTACGTCCATCTACAATAGCCTGCGGGTATGTCAGTGAATAATGGCTATATTGTACAGAATCGAGCAGACACTCACATGCGAGACCTGAAAACAAGTCAAGAACAAGCAAGGACGGCCAAACATTGACAGAAACGTACATGAATTTCATCTCTCGGCCCAAACTCCTTTGCCAAGCTCTGCGAAAGAGCCCTGGTACCATGTTTCGCAGCAGCAAACGCGCTCGTCGTCCTGTTCCCCCTCAAACTCGCGGTAGCCCCGGTAAATATGAGCGCCCCCCTGCCGACTTTATCATCCGGCGGGGTGCTCAGCAGCCTAGTGATAACATTTTTGGAGAACGAGAACGCGGCGACGACGTTCGTGTCCAGCGTCTCCACTACCTCGTCCTCCGTAATCTCCAAGAACGACTTCCACACCGCATGTCCGACATTGAACAGCGCAGCGCGCAAGGCATACTGCGATGGCGGATAATACGAGCCAATCGACTCGAACGCAGAGGTGATGGACGCCGGCCTGTACGAGGGGACGGAGAATGCTTTTGCCTGTAGTAGCTAGGTTTCAATTCGGAGAGACATGAATGAACATCGGGCCATCGGCTCACCGTACCGCCAGCTTTTGAGATTTCTTCGGCCAGTGCATCGAGACCACCACCACTTCGAGTGCGCGAGATGAGTGCGACTGAGTAACCATTCTTGGCAAACAGGCGCCTGGAAAAGTTTAAGCGGGTACTAACAGAATTTTAGAGGTATGCGTACGCCGCGGCGGCACCAGTACCGGTAGAGTTACCTACTCCAGCCACAATGAACAGAGGTTTGAGAAGAGCCATCAAGAGCAAAGACAAGAAGACAGCCGCGTCAAATGCCGTTTAACCGGAACGGCTATGATGTCACGGCCCCATCATGATGTCACCCTGGGTGCGTTCATAAGGGAGCTTTCCGGTTTTGTAGACATGTCTTCGTGTCCATCGTTGATTGAATATCGTTGTCTCCAACATCTTCGAGTAGGTCCCCTGTGACTTCGGTAGTCTTTCCGCAAACCACTAGTACCGTTCTGTCTACGTCGATGGCAACTACTGCCCCGTAAGTTAACCTGTACTCCTAGTGTCATTTATCTGGCGGCTAACTCTCCACAATGTCACTAGTAGTGAGATAACCGTTTGTGAATATACGACTACGGTATCCACATCTAGTGGCTGCGCATATAGAACAATCCAATATTCGAAGACTAACTGTCCCATTCCGTGTACAGATCATCGTCATTTATTTGCTTTTGGTGTGTTGGAAATCCCTGGTGATGCGCAGGGTAGATCTGCAAAGGCTCCAGCTTGAAAGAAGCCATGGACATCCTTCTTTCCCTCCCTAGTGTGCTGCAATACCTTTTTGGAATTTGAACTTCTTGACGCTTCCCTTTTACATCCGATCCGACTGCACGAGAATGTTTCTCAAACAAACGTTATGGACCAGGCGGCGGCCTACCTCACGGCGCGTGGATTGCCCTCCATCTGAATCAACAGCGCGACAGATCAAGCGTAGATGATTTCTATATCATTCCATGTGTTTACTACAGCAATGTACACGAGGAAAGAAACGATGCACAGAACTGGCAGCAAGCTGTGACAACAAAGTTTAGTCCGTCGTTGAGTTGACATTCGTCGCCGACTCAGGAAGACCTATGAAGGAGGCGACGAACGAATCGTAGCTATTTTTGCTGAAATCCGGAGGAGACGACATGAGCGAAATCCAGATATCGGCAGGCATCTCCGATGCATTGGTGATATAACGAGCACCTGCAGCATAGGCGGCAGGGAAATGCTTTTCGATGAATTCGTCGTTCCATTCCGCATAGATAAGTTCGTCGAGCGAAGGGTCGGGCGACGTTGGATCCGAAAAACCTGGAGGTGTGGCTTGGTCTGATTTATACTTCGCATTATCCTGTACGTCGCTACGAGAATGGGGTCAGACTTCCAACATTCAGCCATAGTCAAGTACGAGCACAGACGGCGAAGGTACGCGCTCAGGCGGCTTTTCCGCTCTAAGCAGAACAATGAGCACCGGAGCCATCTGGAAAGAATATGTAGGATGACAAGAAACGCACCTAGCTGCCGCGTGAATTTTGGAGAAGTTCAGGTGATGAGAGAGGCCAACATGATTTCGAAATTTCAAGTCGCATTGGGCACACTTGTAGATTTCTTGCTGATTCTGTGGTTAAAGAGATCGCTTATAACATCCCAGAGATAGGAAAATAATTGACGAACCTGTTCTGCAGTTAGTCCCATGATATTGAGAATCTGCACTATTGGGTTGAATCAAACGGAGAAAGTTGCGGAAGAGCGAATGAAGACTCAGCGTCCACAACCGACCTTATATACGTGCTGCGCGTAAATTAGTTGACCAGTTGACTTGGTTCTTCAGGTTCGTCTTAAACAAAGACCTTCGGAGTACAATAGGAAGTCAATTCAAGGTCCATAATTCCGTAAGTGTCTGTTTCATCCGGTTAGCAAAGATCTAGCGCAATCAAAAGGAGAAAAAGGGTTTGTTCCATATTGCTTGTTGAAGCAAGAGTTGTGATAAATCTGGAACTTTTGCGTAGGTCATAACACATCACCGAGTACGGACAATGAGGCAAAGGTGGCGTAACGCCGGCGGCACAATTGTGAATGACGTTGCGAGGCAACTGCCGGTCCTACAATTTCACCACAGTGGGCAACGCAATTATAGAACATTGGGTGTCTTGTACTCGTACGTAAATGTTGGCCTATAATCCTCGAGCTGCATGACGCCCTGATATGAGCATCAGCGTGGGACGAGACCGATAGACGTATGCAGCCCCATAAGTAGGTACAAGTTCACCTTATATAAGCTTACTGAATGGAAAAACAGTGCAAAAGACCAGTGTTGTACGGTCACCAGACCATGAGCCGAATTCAAGATTTCCGGCAGAACTGCGGGGCAAGGCAAATGACCTTGATCTTCACTCTATGGCTGTGGGGCCACATGTAAAAATAGTTTTTGACTTTGTTGTTTGTGTTCGGTACCCCTTAACCTAGTCAGGCAAGATCACGGTGGCGTGGGTAAAGTCACGGTCACTTGGTGGCCCATCGTGCTTCGGCAACTGTCGCGCGATCGCACAACACTGCCAAAGACCCACGCAGGAAGAACAATTCAGATAAATGATCGGTCACTGAAATCCGACCGGACTCAAATAGCTTTCCACGACCCTTAGAGGTGGAGAAATGAGAGACATGAGTAATGGAGCTCGGACGGCAAATTGATACTGTGAGAAAACCTCACGTATGATCAAATCACAACTACAGGCGAAGTGTCGTTGTGTCCTTTTCTCTCGAGCATCTCAATCACCAGCGTCGACACTGTCCACTATCATTCTGGCCTAGAAGCGACAGCAGTAGCCTCTCGAGTTTCTCATCCACTCTCCTTCGGCCCTGCAATTGCCAGCAGCACGCTACTCACGCAAATTGAAGCACTAAATTAATCATTAGCCTGGGCAGTCTCAGTCATGATTAGCCGCGATTATGATAGTGATTATCATTATGGACACGACTTAGTTGATAGAATTGTGGGAGAATCGTCGGATCCCCTCTTGGTGGCGGCGATTCAACGAATCCCACGATTTTCAGTCACAGCGATTATGGTTTCGATTACCCTTGATGTCAAAAGCTTGGTAGCTGCCTTACGTACCATCCACAGGAGAGAATCGTTAAAGGCTGAAGAAGCAAAGGTGGGTCAGAGTTCGGTGCGATTCTCCCACGATTGCGGATGCATATAATCGTCATAGGAATTGCGGTCAGAATCGCGACTCTGACCACCACCCCTAATGGGATTCACCGGTTTTTACTGGTTTGGATGTGTCTAGTCTTGCTGTTTTTGTGTCTGACACGGCTCTAATAAAGAGGGATATAGTATACGACGTTCAGCACTTATCGACACGGGTCCACCAACTCGAGGATCCAAGCATTCATCTATGTCAACCCGACCAGCGAGATTCCCTGTATCCGGTCTCTTCGTCGAGACAAGGTAAATGGAGAGTTAACAGAATATAGTTGAATGTCCCCCCCACAATCTGTACTTAAATGAAACCCATCATTAGCGAGGATGCCTTTGGCCGCCTGGAGAAACTTGAAGTCTAATCTGTCAGTTCAAAGGTCAGGTGATCTTCGCCGTTCGATCTTGTCATACAAAACTATAGTGTAGAAATAGAACCATCGTCTTGCTGTTGCCGTTTAACCTGAAGGACGCCTGGGATCTACTAGTATGTCGCGGTATTTGGAGTTTTCATGAAGACTGCGCAAGCCGAGTGTGAGGTAAGAACCTGCTGTTCTCTATTTCCTGTAGCTGTCGAGCTAGTGCATAGGAAGGTGACCAAGGTTTCGTAGAAGGTATCATCGCCAGCAGTATCATAAAGTTATACTTTGGTTCTGCTTACATGTTAGAACTCGCGGTGCAGGGTTGAGTGCGTAAGTACTAATGTTCAGAACAATCACGCTAGCGATGCCCTACAAAATACAGTGCGTTTATACTACCGGATTATGTAGAATATACTAGAATGGATGAGAAAATTATCACTAATAAAATGAGTAAGCGTCCCAGGGAATATGGGGAGAATGAGCCAGAATATTCATGGGAGCTCGAACATCTAAATATAGAAATCCATATTTCAAAACATGTCACCTCCAGCGTCTGTCACACCCACTATATAGCGCCCCTTGCCATCCTTCTAGATTGGCTGTCTTCACTTCTGGTCTGCTCATATATTCGCGATGTTCTGAGAATGATCGCGGGTAGTATGGAGGTATCGTCTGCGTTACTCGGGAAGTAAGTTTTCGAACCCCCAAAGGTGCCGTGACTCATTGGTTCATACCTGTTTTTGTAGTTTCCGCAGAACCTTATAGACGAGGCCATTTATTATGGTTTAAGCTTTGATGGCGCACCACATTGAATTGGCGGGCGCTTGTTTGAAATCGCATTGAGTACACTTTCTTGGAGACAACGGATGGTGTCCAATGAATCGTGCACCGTTTCTATAGCTCCCACTGATTGAATAGTATTTGTTGTTACTTATCTCCACAGGTCAATGCTTGGCGTTGCATTCACCGTCAGGAACATTCTCTGAACAGTGATTTACAAAGCTTGATGATAGGTGACGTTTACAGATATCCGGATGGTCAGGCTGCCAGGTGTGGTCTTGAGGAACAAAACAAGGTGTGGTGGCGGTTGACGTGGTCTAGTCGTAAATCACCTTTTGAACAAGAGAGCCTCCAATTCATTTTTTCCACAGGCTGCAGGCGGATGCTAAGGACCTGAATAGACTGCAATAGTCATCGTGGATTATTGCTGTGTGATCTGTGGTGGGCTTCATTACATTATAGACATTTACGAGATCACATGGATCAACGTCCAGCATATGTAAGTGCGCCTGGAGTGCCAATTTTCGATAACTTCACTCCCATGGATACTCTCCGTCAGTCTGCATTGTATCGAGCCGCCGAGCAGCCTCTTACCGGAGCGGCTTTGGACCTTAACAATATTCAAGGTGATATTCTGTAGGCCCTGCCTCCTCTAACAATCATTGCGCTCCAGACTAACTATGACGTCGACAACGGCGGGTTCCCGGAAAAGATAGAGACCTTCCTCTTCTTCCAGGTCACCAACGCAAATATATTCAAGACTCACCTCAAGCTATTCATCCCCTTCGTGAAGACGACCGCATAGGTCATCGCTGATCGCAATTCCATCGATGAGTACAAGCCTTGCGCGTTCCCCCCCCTATCTGACAATTGCCGGTACCTTACCACATGTACATTGCAATTATCTTCCTTGTCATCTGTGGAGAACATGACGTTGCCCTTAAGAATGGTTGGCGGCACCATGGCGTCTCTTCTGCCGTGTACCGATAGATACTCCGTCTCCAGTTCGCGTGACTGAACGGACGCATTTCGCTATGGAATGAATGCTATTATTGGAAGACAGCGTGGAAGACACGGGATTCGAAGCAGTCAGGGGAGATGACTTTTATCCTTTTTTATCTGACAGGGTCTCTTTTATCCCCTTCAAGGGCGTCGCATTTGGAACTTTGATATCTGGAACTCTCACTTCGCAACCTTGTGTAGCGCCGTTCCTCAACTCTCCTTGGCCATGGTCTATTTTCCTGGAGAGACGATTATCGACGTCTTTCGTCGTATCTGCTCATCTGAACATGCCAACAACGACGCGCTGAAGTGTGGAGATGATCAATGGTCCTACGCCGAATTGGATTCTATCACACAGTTCCTCAGTGAACGATTTGAAGAGGAATACGGGTCTCATCCAGTTGTCGCTTTTATCGGTGAAAACCATCCGTATCTTTTTGCGTGTCTGTTCGCAGTGTGGCGTATCGGTGGTATAGTCGCGCCAATAGATCATCATGCCCCAAAGCATATGATGGATGCTATGCTTCGTATCGTGAATCCAGCAGTTGTCGTCGTCCCTTCGAATGTTCTTGCCATCCAAACCTTGGTGAAAGGTACGAATTTTGGGTCATGTGTTAGAAATACTAAGTCTTCTATAGACATGCACATTCCTCTCCATGTTTTCGATGCCGAGGATAACATTTTCGCCACCTATAAACACCGGTGCTCACAAAACAACAAGGTCATACTGACTGGTCATTCCCACCCATCTGACACATGCCTCCTTGTCTTCACCTCCTCAGCATCCGATATTTCCAATCTTAAATGTGTACCTTTAACACATGCTACGGTCATTGACCGGTGCCGCTCTCAAGTCTCCTGGCTGAAGAAAAATTTTCCCCATCAATCGTTTGACCGCCTTCGTGTTCTTGGATGGTCCCCATGGTTCCATGCCATCGGGCTGAGTCACGACATCGGAGCCTGCACCATCTTGACAGCAGGATGTTACATCTTCGCTCTGATGCCATCTGGATATTCAGCGGTACATCAGAGATTGATAGGGTCTCGTACCCTTGCCGAACTCCTTTTGGATTCCGTATCGGAAGAGAAAGCCGACATTTTTACAGGAGTTCCTTGGTTTTTTGAGGTTCTTAGGGATGGCTGGGCAATGGAAACTGACGTCACTCGCCAAGTGTGTATTACAAATTCCCTTAGAAGCTTCAAGGCTCTAGCGGCTGGTGGTGCGTCGATGAGCGCGGATGTTTTGGAATGGTCGCGGCAGCTTGATTTGCCCTTGGTTCTGGCAATCGGGATGACGGAATTCGGAGGTATTTAAGTGTTGCTCTTTCGTCCGTATGGTTAGACTCATTTGATTGGAATAGGACCACTGTTTCATGGGTTACCACCCCGAACTGAGGGCGAAAATGGCTGGGATATTGATGACTGTCTCATTTCTGACGCCAGTCTATACATAGATGACAAGGACAGTTCAGAGAAAGGAACAGGTTAGCATTAGGCTTTAGTCGTCGTATCAGCTGCTAAAAATGTCTCACAGGCGAGTTATGGGTTACCAGCAAGACCATTGCTAAGGGCTACTTGCACCACGATTCATCCGCGTTCACGGCAGGCGTCGAAGGTAGCATTACCTTCCGCACGGGAGATATATACACCAGAACTTCCAATAATAGGTTGGTTTGGAAAGGCCGAAAGGAGGATTTCATCCAGGTTTGTTACTCATTGTAGCTAACGCACTGTGCTAATCATATATTCCGTCATTTTCAGCTAGATTCAGGTGAAATAATGGATCCACGAATTCACGAGAAGACTTTTGATGATAACCCAGTCATTGCCCGGTCTTGCATTATCGGGAACAATTTCCTTCGTGGCGCATCGCAGTTTCTTTGTCTGATCGTCGAACTCATGCCAGAGGCTACTTTAACACGAAAGGAAGCATACGAACAGGTGACCAAGACTGTGGGTACAGTCAATATATCTTTGCCGCCTCCATTACGCATACTGTGGAGTCGCATCCTGATCCTTGGACCCGATTCATCAATTCCCTTAAACAGGAAGCATCTTGTTTGGCGTAAGAAACTGGAGAGTCTATTCTGGGATCTTGTCAAGGGGTTGCCCGCGCCATCTCCTGCAGCTACCTCTTCTCAACGCTCGGGATCTTGGACAACCGAAGCTGCAAAAGACATTGTGATCCAGTCAGTGTCGATCGCGTTAGGGTTATCTGAAGACATCCTCCTGGCACATTCCGATGCAAGTTTTGCTGAGGTAGAGGTCGCTATTTATTCCTATTGATACTATAAGGATTGATTCTTGTTCTAGCTTGGAATGGATTCTGCAATGGCGTTGATGATCATCAATTCAATAAATGGCCGACTGCGCCTTGATCTTCCTCTAAACGCTTGTCACACTTATATCGATCTCGAGTCCCTAACTCATGCAGTCCATGTAAAGCTCGGACTTGTCAATGACCCAAACATTACTGGCTCGCAGGCTGCTCATTTCCCGAGGTCAATCGATGATGTAGTAGTCGTCGGTCAGGCCATGCGCCTTCCTGGAGATATCAATAATATAGATTCGTTCTGGAACGCTCTCGTCGAGAAGCGTCAGGACCTCATTATCTCGATACCATCTGACCGATGGGACCATAAAGGCTTTTACACGACCTCTAAACCTGCTCGTCCTTGCGACATCACTTTCGATAAAGCTGGTTTTGTCGATTACGCCAGCTTCGACAACAGTTTCTTCGGCATAAGCTCCGCGGAAGCGTTGTTTGTAGCGCCATCTATCAGGTTAACCCTCGAGGCTGCGTTCGAAGCTCTAGAAAATGCCAATATCCCGCAGTCGCGTGTCAAAGGTACTGATATGGGCGTTTTTGTTGCGACTGGATTGGATGAAGGTTACCAACAGCTATTGTTTCTCGATCAAGGCTATGCGGGTAGTTGATTTGTCGTCTGTCGTTAGCTGTGGCTGACCATTATTTTCAGCATATACTCGTTATTATGGCACTGGTATCGCTAATAGTACTGCTTGCGGTAGGATCAGCTAGTGAGTGGGATTTTACTGCGAAACGGGCTCGTTCTCATGGTAATAAAGTTTGTTAGACATTCATGGACCTTCTATAGCAGTCGATACTGCATGTAGCGGTAGCCTCGTTGCATTAGATCAAGGTTTGATACTCTACAATTTGAGATATTTCATTTCCAACGATTCTGAATAGCCGTCAAATATTTGCAATTTGGAGGAGGTGAATCTGCCATTGTCGTTGGCGTGAACACACATTCTTGGTGCGTCTTCACGCCTTTCCTTCCCCGTATCTCTCTTACCAAATAGATAGGCCGGGAACCTTCGGGTATAAATCTCTCCATAGCGTACATACCTGCAGATCCTGATCAAAAAAAACATAGCTTTCTTTCGGCGCAACAAATGTCATCCACGAAGTCCCGGTGTGCAACATTCACTGATGAAGCCGACGGGTCCGTCCTTTCTTTAATTTCGTTTCTTTTTGAGAACTTACGTGTTCTAAAGATATGTTCCTTCGGAGGCGGTTGTAGCCGTAATCCTCAAAACTCGTCAAGCTGCGCTACGTGATAACGACAATATCCTTGGTGTCATCAAGTCCACAAACACGCTACATAACGGTCGTAGCCAAGGAATGGTCGCTCCATCATCCTCAGCACAGTCATTATTGCAGAGATCACTGCTTAACAAAGCTTCTCTCAAGCCATCAGATATTGAGTGAACATTATTTCATTTGTCTAATCCGTCTATGGCTAATGGATTACTAGTTTTATTGAAGCGCACGGCACCGGTACGTGTACGAGAAATGGACATTGTTACTCCAATAATTGAGAGACATTCCCAGGAACATCGCTAGGAGACCTGATCGAGATGGAAGGAATCAATGACGTGTTCAAGGATAGTCACACCAAGGATCGTCCATTGATCATCGGTGCTGCGAAAAGCTGTGTGGGACACACAGAAACCAGCTCGGGTCTAGTGGGGATGGTAAAGGCCCTAGCATCTCTTTCTCGCCGAGCTGTACCAGGTTTGACGCATCTTACCACGTCGAACCTGAATCCAAATATTGACTGCTCTCTCGTTCCAATTCACATACCCCATCAACCCGTGAAATTGTCGAAAGGAAATGATCTACTCCGTGCACTTGTCCTGTAAGCTTCATTCAGGTGTCTATGCTCATTTTTGCTAATAGCTCGCTGACAGAGCATACGGATTTGCTGGTACTATTTCTGGTGCCCTAATTGAAAAAGCAGAGCCCAGGGATGATCTTTCACTCTCAACGCCGAGTTTAGAGCCCATGCTCTTCGTTGTGAGCGCCAAGTCTGAAACGGCATTGAAGTCTTACGTCCAAAAGTACATCGACTTTTGCGCATCGGTGGAGAAGGAACTATTCAAATTGATATGCTATACCAGCTGCGTGGGGAGAGAGCATTATCGGTACCGATTTGCTTGCGTTGCAAGCACAATGGATGAGTTAATTGAAAAACTCGAGGATCAGCTAACTCGTTGTATCGAATCCCGCCCGTCAAATCCGAAGGTGATATTTGGCTTCACAGGACAGGGATCGCAGTACGCTGGAATGGCTCGCGACCTCGCCATGAGCTTCAAAGGGTTCCGCGGTCTTCTCCAAGAACACTGCGATGTCGCCTTCCTCTATTGTGGATTTTCGGTGATGGATATTCTGGTTGGAGGTAATTCCGCGAAGGATCGCGATATCAACGACAGTGAAGTCGGTCAAGTCTGCACATTTGTCTACCAGTATAGCATCTGTGTTTGGCTCCAGTCTTTGGGAGTACGACATCAAGCTGTTATTGGCCATAGTTTAGGGGAAATTGCTGCTGCAGGCAAGTTGTTTTCTCAACGGCATATTCTTCATCTCTAACTGACCAATCAGTTATTGCTGGAATATTCAACTATGAGGAAGGCATACGTTTTGTGGTTCAGAGATCACATCTTTTGAGGCGAAGAGAGCAGCATCGAGGCGCCATGGCAGCTATTGCCACTGACGAGGGGGCAATCCTCCAATATTTAAGCAATTTAGGCATTTCTGAGTCGGTGGTGATAGCTGTCTTCAATGGTTATGACTCTCACGTCGCATCCGGCGAAACAGAATCTATCAACAAGCTAGTCTCTGCGGTGAAGAGAGATGGAATCAGAGCAGTCAAGCTGAATGTCGATCAAGGTATAATTTCGGCAAACATCTCACTGTTCTGTGTACCGATTTTTCTTTGCAGGGTTTCATAGTCCATGTATTGTCCCGGCTCTGTCAGCCTTGGGAGAGACGATTCATGAATTGCCCAGCCGACCATTACAGGTCCCAATGTTTTCAACAGTCACGGGTAGGCCAATCCCTCCCCAGAGCATCCTGTCACGAACATATTGGGTCTGTATCTCTTCCCTTCTGCACAAGGATGATTGTAATTATCTATAGGTTGATCATGCCCGAAATCCCGTGCTGTTTTCTCAGGCGCTGGAGGAATTGCAAAAGGACCATTCGATCAATACCATCCTTGACATTGGGCCCCAGCAAACATTCTGGGGTCTATCTCAAGGTCTCGTTGACAAGGTCAAGATCTCTGTCTCAGGGAAGAAAGGTACCAATCAAGAGATGGTGCTCCTCAAAGGATTGGCGAGCCTATACCAAACAGGTGCTAGCCTCGATCTCGCCAAATTATACACAGAGCGGCCTTACGCCTACTCCAAAACTGACATTCCGACATATCCGTTCCAACGTCAACGCTATTATCCCGCTTTCATACCTGCTTACGACAATTTAGGAGAATCTCCATCTGCGGCAAATGTGAATGGTAAAGGTACAGGAAAAGAAATCCTTTTAATCCACGACAGTCTTCGTGCCGTCTTGGATGGCCATCGGATTGAAGGCCATCGAGTTCTTCCAGCAGCGGCGTTGGCAAGTTTCTTCATCTCATTGTCGAGGAATTCAGCTCGGTCTTTAAAGAGCATACAATTTCATCGGCCTCTCATTGTGGATGAGAACATTCACGTAGAGGCACTGATAGATGACGATGGAGCTTTCACCTTATACCAAGGCATTGCATTCGAAGAGCATGACAAAATTTGCTCAGGACGCTTTGCCTTCTTACCATCACCATACCCATACAAACAGTGGCCGTCAGGTATATCACCGAATGAGGTGATTGACCAAGCCAAGGTCTACAGTGCCTTCAGAAACATTCACTTTGGCAAGACCTTCCGCAATATCACACGATTTGACGTATGGAACGACCGTATTGATGCGTCCATCGTGGTAGATCCATCTACACGTTATCCAGAGTACGACTATATCCGCAAATTGGACCCTTGCTTGCATATGTTCGGCGTGGTTAATACTTTGTTGGGAGATGCGCCTCCCACAGAACGGACAGAAGGATCCTTTCTTCCATCTTCCCTCGAAGGCTTGATATTCTACACTGACAAGTTCCCTGATAGCTTCATTTGTCGTTATCATCTACCTATTAGCATGGCGAGAAATCACCATGTAATGACTGTCCAATTCGATGTCGTTTCCAACGACGGGGAGCTTCTCGCGTGTTGCAAGAGGTACTCAGTTGCTTGGATCCCGGTCGGAACAATCAAGCAAAACGTTGAGCCATCCTCAAATCTAGCCGTTCCCAGTTGCTGGTTCAGTAATACATGGGTGCACAGAGATGCAGCGTCTACCAGTTCCCAGCTTTCCCTTCCGGATTCTGTGCTCTACATCAGCCCGACACCTCATGCCCCTTTAATGAAAGAACTCGCCCAAATTACGTCGGAACTAGCTTACGCCGGGTTAGCCAACTGCAGACGGTGGGCGAGAATTCGAGGCACGAACTGGGATCCTCCATCCCTTGTTTTCATCGATGCAGATACGACAACAAAATCTATAATTCTCGACGTGACCTCGTTCATCATGGACCCCCATTCGAGCACGTTCTCAACATGCTGGAAAGAAATTCTTCAGTTGATGAAGACACTCATAACAGGGAAGATTCACTACGATAATCTCGTCGTTCTTTCGTCCGGCTGTACAGGCAACGGGGATTCATTTTCTGTTGGTGCTGCGGTCCAAGGAATGATCCGAGTGTTCCGTCGAGAAACGGGCTTACAAGATACCATCTGGGGGTTAGATGTCCCTCAAAGTCTGCCGTCTGCAGAGATCGTCAACCTCATTGCACGCGAATTGGAACAGAGACCGTTAAGGAAGGTCAAGGATAATATGATTTCTGTTCGATACGATGCTGACCGAGGGCAATTCTTCGAACTGGTGCCAGGGCTATATCATTTAGAAGGTACCGAGCAAGCGACGTTTGAGGGCGTTACCATCATTGTCGGACTTGGAAGTATCGGGTCAGCACTGGCATCTCACATAGCAAAAACGGGTTCTCACACCATCATATTTATCGGTCGACGGTCAAGAGAAACGGTTCGCAGCTTTCTGCTTTCGCATTTCATCTTACTAATATAGCATCCGAAAGGTCGTTAATGAACTTTCCAAGATATCCTCAGCATCTTCGAGGATAGAATATTTCCAGGCCGATGCTTCGAATAAGGAAGCCCTTTGCCGGGTTATGGTAGAGATACTTGAGCGCTTTGGCCCCATTTACAATATCGTCCACACGGCTGGAGTTGTTCGGGATGCGATCATTCCAAACATCAGTGAACATGACTTTGAGGAGGTGTTGAAGCCCAAAATCAATGGAGCGTGGAATCTACACGTGTTGTCCCTTGAGCTAGGCCTATCCATTGATCATTTCGTACTTCTGAGCAGTATCAGGTAATTGTTCGTCGCGGAACAGGGATACCATACAAAACTGACTCGAGTGTAGCGTTCCTTTAGGAAATATTGGGCAAGTCGCCTACGTTGCGGCGAACTCATACTTGGACTACCTTGCTACGTATCGCCAGAGGCTAGGTTTATCCGCCGTCTCCCTCCAGCTAGGCGCTTGGGAGTCCAATCTTATCCGGAAGTTAGATGTGTCGAAGGGTCTCGTCAAACCTCTTAGCCACACAGAAGGCATTCCCATGATTATGAAGGCAATGGCACTCGCAAAGAAATGTCCGGAGCCAGTCCAGGTCATTGCAAAGTTCGACGTGGAATTAATGGGCGAGGTCCCTGCGTTCAAGGAGGATAGAATGTTTGCCTCTATTGTTGGTGACGTCGGTAATACACCTGCATCGACGATGACAAGTGAGCAGGCGGAAGAAATCTTCATCAACATTTTACGAGATGTCCTCGAGCTGAGAAATGAGGAGTATCTAGGTCCGTAAGGCTACTGTGCATTGCTCTGCGCTGATGAAGTTTTTCTCTGTAGATCTCGAGGAGTCTTTAACTGCCAGCGGGATAGATTCGATTGCGTTCGCCCAAATTCGTGGCCGAATGCTAAAGGATATAGGTGCAGATGTTCCTATGGTTTACTTGTCGGACGTGTTTTCAATGAAGGACATGGTTACCAGTGTCTGCCACACATTTGGCAGTGTACCAACGTAGGGACATGCTAATGCTATTTATTTTAGATGCAGAGGGACTAAATATACGATGCTGTGGATGCTACGTGGTAAGGAACCCGAATGCGCCAGAATATGGGACATATGAAATGGTGTAAAAGCTTCAAAGACTCTTTATTAATGTCGTGAATGTCTTCGTGGTTACGTTTGCGTTCAGCTTTTCCCTTTTGCTGATCTCAAGTTCGAATCTTCTTGACTGAAAATAGGAGAAATTATTTGTGGGAATCTTCTCGTGGTTCGTTTTGCTTCCATGAAGTGCCGCTTCGTGGTCGATGAAGATGTCTCAGCCAGTCACATGATCTGAATTGAATCTCGGGTGCGTTGTTCCATCCTTAAGACTGTGACCATCTTGAACGTTTATCACGCCTAAAGCTTCGACGGACTTCGCTGACCCAGACAGGACAGAACAAATTGTAAGTCACAGTTAAGCTTTCTCACTGGTCTCATTTTTCTCTAGCTACGTAGCGACGCAACAAAGAGGTACAGAGTGAAGATCGTTGACTTAGATACACTCCATCCTGTTGGCGAGGAGAGGGGTTATAATTATGTGCTTGTGAGATATTATAACACTGGGGATATTGAGGCTCTGGAGCAGCGATTGAAGAAAGACCCAACATCATCGAAGGTACATATCTCGCTGAAGGAGACTTTGAAAAAGCAAGGTGGAAAGACATCGAGAATGAAGGGTATGAAGGATTTTAATGTGAGTGTGTTTAGTTATTGGCTGGTGTAGACCTAATGGGAGGTGGATATAGTTCGATGATGCGCGGATGAATCAGATCAAGTCGAGAGATGTAAAGGACAGTCCGACAAAGAGGGATGCACACCGGCAGGTTTTCTGGTATAATTTAGTTGGTGCCAAGGTGATCACTGTCTTCATGATCTGTTATTTGAATCTGACATCAATGAGAATCTTGTGCGGGAAGTTCATTCTACTCCCGTGGGAAGTGTACTTGCTTTCTGACCTGCAAAGTGCTGCCAACTAGAACCAGCAAATACCAACAAATACAGCCATTGCCAAAAAATGCTGAAGCATCTACCTCCATGTCTGGTGCTGGAAAGGACAAGTGAAGGATGACAATGGGTTATCATTCTTTCTGAGTCTCCGAGGCAGGCCAAGAAGAAGGGCAAAGCACGAACCAAGAAAAAATCAGAAGATGATGATGATGTCATAGTCTTGGAGTCCATCAAAAAGGTCTGAAAACGCCTGTCAAGGGGAATTATGATTACTACAATGATTTGATTGAGAATGGTTTGTTGCATGGAACGTCCTAGGATGATGCTGCAGCATTGTGTGAGGTTTCTTATTCTTGTCCCTGAGTTTCGACAGTCGCAGGTTTAATGAGATAATGATTGGGAGTCTGTACTCGGACTAAGATTTTATTCCTGTAATAGTACCATGTATTTTCGAGTTGACAGAGGAGCGCTGTAGACGGTGGCGATCGTCGTCCTCATAACTACGCAGCGTGGGATGGCAAACCTATAGTGGGGAAGGACATGATTCTCCTGCAGAACGTACGTTCAAAGTCGTGTTTTCCAGAACCGCAGCGGGGAGAATCTTCAACTCGAGTCACAGATCCATTCGCAGGCCGGTAAAACAAGCGAAGTGGTCATGAACTGGAGAGAAAAGCCCACGTGGCAATGTAGGATCCAGCATAAAAAAGCTTCCCGAAGTACGACATGGCTATGTGATTCAATATAAGGTAAAAAATGATAATAAGGGAAAGGTATGTTTACCTGAGAAGAGTATCCTACAGAGAACGTCATATTGTTGTCTTCTTCACCATACCTGGCTGAGACATATTTAAAGCACAAGCATATTGGCCCTGCTGAAATCGTTAAGCATTATCGTGCCATAATCATGATGTATTAGATACGTTCTACTCACAAAAGGATATTGTCTCTACACGGTTGACTAGTTAGCCGCAACAATACATCTCTTTCTTCTTGTCCCATCTCCTGAAATCTCACGGCGGTTTCCACGAGAGCCGGACTCCCCGAGATTGCTGTTTGTTGTCAACATGGTGCGTATATGTCCAGAGACTCAACACTGCTGAATGTCAAAGCACCTATACGAGGAAGAAGAGTGGCCATGCTCTAGTAGTGTGTTCCAGTCCGAAAGTGGAGTGGGCCAAACGGCAAGATCATCATCCGTGACTACGGCAACAAGAGGGTGCACTGGTCAAGTGAGACGCGCCAGTCTATGTGGTGCTTTAAAACAATAGAGGTTGGTATCGAGATCTACCATATCATATACCACGAGGATTGGAGCGAGTAGGGAATAAACTAAAGTTCATGTGGCATCTGACCAGGTGATATATGATGAAACTCGTCTCTCGATGATTTTTATCTTCGGCAGAGCAGTTGATCGTATCGATGTCATGAATTCTGCTGAAATGGAAGATGTGCGTTTCGAACTCAAAGAGACTTCTGTATCTAGCACGGCGGGTGAACAGAAAGCGGAAGTGGGCGGAGAGTGCGTGTCCGAGTCTGTGTGAGAATTCCAGCGTTTGCTGGATGGAGTCGTTGGGCAGAGAAGGAGTTATCCGTGCTGCTACCCTACAAGCTGGATGCCAGGCTATGAATATCGTTTGCTCTCAGGGAAAAAGTGCCGCAGACATGCCAATTGATCCGGCATTGATCCCGGTATTCGGGATAGAAAAAAGCTGTGGCCGCTTGAGATATGTTCAGTCACTAAAGGCATGAATGCATGACGTTCAATACTGATTCGTGCTGGAGAAATCGCAGGTCAAAAGTCTGCTCTAGATTATTTGGAAATGGTATGTGCCTGAGCGCTTGACGCTATTTGTGTAATCATATAATCGTACCTTCAGTAATCAGAGGCGTCATGTGAATTGTGGTGTTTTTTTGCTCCAAACTCATAGTCAGTGGATCATCGCATCCATTGTTTCATGTTCCCTTGACCAGTGGTACTCGTAACAATGATTTAGGCCCCAGTAACAGAGAGCTTACGAGAAGGCAGAAAAATTCCTTCATTATCTATTTCATTTATCAAATCAGATTAAGATTTCTCTTCATCAACAAAACAATTGCCCTGTCATGGTGACCGAAGTGAGAACCACTGGTGGTTTACAAGTTAATCATCATCATCAATAGAATGTAGCTCTAAGGTGCAATGACCTGCAGTACGATGGATTCTACCAGAGTCTCCATGAATTGGTAGTAAGATAAAGAGCAAGATTGGAATGGGCTGAGGAAGATGTGTATATGTTTGAATTCCGTCGAGTCGTTGCATGAAGAATCATTATGATGGAAGGTTCAAGTTAATTCTTGCAGTTCCTTGAGGTGATCGATGATTTCTCAAGCACGTCCAATCCACAAATTGAAAGTTACCACGAACACTCTAGAACCAATCTCCCACCCCCCGAGTCCAGCCATCCATACACTAATTTGGGGGATAAAACACGGCCGGATGGTATGGGGAAGTCAGCGGAAGGAAGAAAAATGATCCGCGGCACGAGTAATTTATAATGATTGCCGGAGGATTTATGCCGGCAGCCAAACCCGTTCCTCCTCGTTCGCATAAGACGTGATAGCCAGATGATCATTGGTGCATGCGACGGACTGGGCGTCAGAGGATGGAACGGCAATACATTCATAATAATCATCATATTGCTAATGGCCCGTCACCCAAGATTTCAATCCATGAGAACTTGCAAGTCGATAGACTGCGTGAATTGTTGGAACGTTTCGTGCCTTCCTTGGTTAATCAAGTCCGTGAATGGGGAGAAAAAAACATGGTTTGTGATGGTTGGTACAGAGCAAGACAATTGAAATTAATAGCACAATGGCATTTGAACTTTAGAAACCTGTTAAATTCTCTACCACTTCTCATGAGCGGGACGCACTAAGATGAGATACATCAGCAAAGAGTTGGAAGCAAAGATCAAAGGGACTGACAATCCAGCTCCCATGTCCAAGTCGACCTAGGCTGCTTGGCGAGGTACAGGTAGGACTAAAAAAGGTAGGTCAAACATAGGTCCTCCGCAACGATGACAAAAAGAAAAACGTACCTCTGCTATACCCTCGGGAGACAGCCTAAGATCTTCATTCTGTTCCCATGCTGGGTCGTTGCGACGTTGTCGAGAAAGGTTGGTCAAGATGCCGCCATCGATGATCGCCTACCGAGCAGAGTCAGTCTCCAGAACAAAATCGGCGAGAGAAAGGCTGGGCAATTACATGGGAGACGTGGATATTCTGCTTGCCGAACTCTTTCGCCAGACTCTGCGACAATGCCCTCATAGCGTGCTTCCCAGCTGAGAATGCGCTGGTGCTGACATTCCCTCTGACACTCGCCGTGGCTCCCGTGAAGATCAATGACCCTCTTTTCCCCTTCTCGTCGATTTCGTTCACCAGGAAAGCTCGAATGACGTTGTTTGAGAAAGCAAAAGCGCCCTCGATGTTTGTCTGGTTCACAGCTTGGACGTCCTCGGGTGTGATGTCAAGGAACGGTTTCCAGACGCCATGTCCGACATTGTAGAGCGCAAAGCGGATGGGCTGGCCATCGTAGCGGGCACGGATTTGATCAAATATAGTGTTAACGTCCACGGCGCTGTACGACGGGATGAGGAACGAGACAGCAGTCCCACCGGCAATGTTGATCTCGTTGTAGATGGCTTTGAGAGAGTCGGAGCCGCGAGCTATGAGGGCAATAGCGTAGCCTTCTTTAGCTAAGAGGCGACTGGGACTAGTCAGACAATCAAAGTTGAAGAAGTGCAGGGAACGTACGCTGTTGCCGCGCCAGTGCCAGTGCCCGAACCAAGACCTAGGTCGTTGCCAAAACATCAGCAAGGCGGACTGAAGCCATCCTGACAGCGATTCACCTGCGATAACAGCTACAGGTGCGTTTGCCATGTTGTAGAGAGAGGATGATGAGAATTGAAGAGAAGGAACTGCAATTTATTTGTGAGCAAGCTGGCGGAATTATTAGGTGAGAAATCATTACCAATCGATTTATACTAATGATCAGTCATGCCGCGAGATAATGACCGAGTCTGACGCCATGCCGAGAGGGCGGTAGAATTCAAGTGATTACCAGCCAGAAAATACGATGGTAAAGCTGCGAGCTGGGAGTAGATGGGAAGTGGTTTGAATATTGGAAACATTGTCTTTGTTTGGTGCAATGGCACACGCCGAACCGCGTCTTCGGCCCCCCTCTCTACCAAACGACAGAAATAGGTGCTATCCATGATTTCGGCCTGAATATTCGGAATCCGAGTCTTTCACTCTGAGGTAGGACCTCTTGTATGATGTATCTTGAAGCTTGACCGGTGCCGTTGGTGTTCAGATTGGACTATATCCAAAGCACAATGCTTGTAGACCTTTAGTATTTGGTTTACAAACTCCTGAAGAGTTTGCCCATTGACTTCATATATTTATACTAAACTACTCTTATTCTAGTAATTTCTATTGAATCAATTTCTTACTCAGCATACCAGAATGCCGGAATGCCGGAATTCTCTCGCAGATTCCACCAGTTGGAGTCCACAATCTGGCAGGTTAGTCCATCTTGCCTCTAATATGAAATGGTCTATGAAACCATGATATCACAGTTAATACGCGGCCGAAAGCTCCGAAGCGCCACGGAACGATCCGGACATGTGTTACCCCTAAACATGTTCACCCTGCTTCCTTGTGAACATTGAACCAAAACCCTCGATTTCAAGAATTGTGGCCGAGCTCTGCATTTTCGATGTATGCTCTCCCAGAACTAGTGAACATTCATGTACGTACTGTGCCTCTGCCTGCCTTTCTCGGGCGACGATTTTTCGCTGGCAGTTCTCGCAAATTACGGTCCTCATCATGATGAAAGTCCAGCACGGATAGCGTAGATTTTTATTGACGTCTCTTGGTTTATGTTTCCTTATAGGTCATCTTCATCTCATAACATTCTCCATCCAGCCTTTCTTACATCGATATACAGTTGACTATCTCACAATGCATATGGTCGGGAGACACCAAAACTGTATGCATTTATAGATTTATGCAGAACCAAAATAGCACGTGATG